GAATTCAATGTAGTGGCCAGGGCCTTAGTAATTACTTGGGGGGTCGGGGGACTTAGTAAGTAGATAGTAAGTAGACTTATAAGTACCCTAAGAGGGACACTAATTGGGGTTATGGTACTTAGAAGTCCCTAAAATAACCAGTAAGTCCCCCGACCCTCCAAGTAGTCTCCATTGTAGTTCCTTTTCTTGGTTAACCAAAATCTCTATTATAGGGTCCTAACCATGAAGCTGGGTTATCCAAAAAAAGGAACTACATTGGAGACTATAGGTAGTGGCCAGGGCCTTAGTAATTAGAACAGGGATCCTGCATTTGAGGGTTGTATGATTTAGTGGGCCTGAATAATTGGAACTATTGTACTATAGTTATATGCGGGGCTATAAGGGGATACTATTGGTCATTGTTCCGCCCCCTGTATAACCCACAGCCCCAAACCTTACAAAACAGTAGGCTATTTCAATTACAGGGTATGGACCGCAGTAGTTTAGGTGGTTTGTACTTACGATTTAGGAATGACGTGTTCACGGTTTGGGGTTAGTTTAAGATATAGGCTGACTGTTTCAGGGGCTGATAAAGGCTTCAACCACAAACAACCTGTCGAGATACCCTGAACCCGGAACTTGCACAGCAATGAAGACACGTCTGGAACAAGGGACCATGCAATATGTTTAGCTTGAAACGGTGTCTCCAACACATCGTTTAGCTTTACGAAGGGTCCTGATTTAAGATCTTTCGGTGTCATGTCCCATAAATAAAGTCAGAGTAGGTCCAAGGTATGCGTCTCTATGCTCCATGCGGACATGCTTCAGCAACGGCCCCCCCGAAATACCCTATCATCTTCGGGCAACGAAGTCGATGCGGCCTGAATTCTGAACACATTAACCCAAAGGGTCCAAAGTACTGTTATGGGGGATACTTCCCCAAATCACAATGGTAATTCCTAATATAGGAACCCTACAGTCTACCATAAAGGTACTTTGGACCCTTTAGGTAATCTTTGCATTTGCAATGGCCACAGCACGTGGCACATTGGCCCTGAAAGAAGTAAACGACGGCCCCAAACCTGATGTACCCTACTTGTCGGCAGAATGGCCAAATTAAGATCACATTTGGGATCTCCGCTTGGTCACTAGGGGTCCCCTTGAAACAAGTGCTGTTTCGGTCGTCAGAGATGACGATCAACCGCTGCTGTTCCTGACAGCTGCTCCAAAGTCCCCGACAAGTGGGAGTTTTCGCACATTAGGGGTGCCTTATCTGGGGGTCCTTATAATAAGGATCCTACTATTTGGGGTACTATATTAGGGTCCCCTATTTTCGAAAAGTCCCAATTCGATGACAGGGCCGGGCAGGGGATGCGGCTTTCTTAACAAGGTTCGCGGCCTTTCCTCCAGCTTTCTCGACCAGGTTCGCGGCTCTCAGTGCGCCCTTCGAGGTGCACGAGCGAGAGGGCGTCGATAACGTCTTCTAGGAGCCCTTGGACTGCAACTGGCAGTTCGAGGCATTGTGGGCAACCGGGCCTTTCATGTGATGTTTCTTGTAGTCGACGCGCACGGCGTACAGGCTCCGGCAAGGATGTCGATGTCGCCTGCGCAGTCGTGAGACTAGCACGCATCTCTTCAGTCATGCTGCTTGGGCAGCTCCGTGTACGGCACAAGCTGCGTCTACCGGCTGGGCCAGGGTATCCATCCCGCACGACAGGTGTCTATCCCCAATCATGGGAATTCACGGATCGACTCTTTTCAGGCCTGCGCAGCCCTGAACCCAAAAAACCCTACCCTATGCCCCGTTGACTTTAAGCCAAAAACGTCTGAAACCGACACACCGCACAAAACCATCAACCACCCGATGAACACCCCTTCAACCCCAAATTAGTTGAAACCCTACCAACACCCTGCAAACTACCGAAAACAAGCCTGAAAAAATACCAATACCTAATACCTCTACTATATCAGGCCAGTAGTAATGAGCCCGGACATCCGGAAACGAACCTTTCGTAGGACCTGTATTACTCTGAGTCCTCCTTACCCTATAACGGTCATGTACCCAAACAGTATATACTTCGGCCCCAAAGCAACCATATGGGCACTACTTCGGGGCCATAGTATATACCGTTTGGGTACATGCCCTATAAACCCTATAAACCCTGTAGAAACTGTAGAACCCTTGAGGGTACCCTGGATCTGATTTGGGTACATGAACCCTGAAAAATAGGTACTTCGGAGACCCCGGTACCCCTAAAGGCACCCTTAAAGATACATCGGCCCTTAGGGTTAAGGGTCGCAAATCGAGGAGCACGTCGGCTGCAAAGCGGGCGCAAGCGCCGGCAAGGCCAAGTAACGAGCCGATGCCTCGGAAAGGTTTAAAGGGTTTAGGGTTTAGTTTTTAAGGTTTAGGGTTTTAGGAACCGTCGTCGCATGTTTTCGTGTAGGTTCTATCGAGTTCGGTGGAATTATTGTCTAGAAAATCTGTGAGGGTTTCGGGCGTGTTCTTCTGCTTTCGTGTATGGGGGTTGGAATGGGTGAGGGCTTATCGTTGTGGAGTTTGGAGCGTTAGGGTAGCTGAAGGCGTTTGGCATGCAAAACATAACCCTAAATTTGAATGACCAAGTAAACATAAGGATCTGACAATCGAGCTGGTGTGGGTAGAGCTCCTCTAGAGGAGTCCATCTTCACCCAACAAGATCCTGCTCTCTAGTGCTCTTCTCTTCCTCTGTGACCTTACATTTTTTGTTTCCCAAAGCTCTGAAATGGAAAGGAACCGTTCAGAGCTTAGTTTACGAAACTTCAGCTTCGACTTCCTGCTTTCAGGCGGAGGAAGGCTTGGGGTTCAACGTTGGGGTTTGGGTACAGATATTCAGAGGTAAAGGGTGGGGTTTAGGGTATTTAGGGTTTAGGGTTTCGGGCATGTAGAGCCTGATGTCATAATTCATCCACTTCACAGCTTCGACATCTGGCCAGTCTAAGGCATGGCGGGTTAAACACCTTGGCAAACAAGTTTGCTTTCGTCCCAGACTATAGCTGTAAAAGCCCTAAGCCCTCTTAAATGCCCTCATGCTGCGGAGTGCATGATTTATGTCGAGGCACTGTCTATGTAAGATGTTCGCAGCCAATAGCGCGGTAAGCATCGGTAATTACATCGGTTTGGGGTGGAGATAACCACTGCTTCTCACGATCTAACGAGTGTCATCATCATGCTGCCTGATGCGGATATCATCACACTGATGATTGCTGTTGTTGTGTGATTCGTCTACGTCTACGGCTAAGATATTGCATCATGGTGATGATGAGAAAGCAGCATGAGCGGCGGCAGCATCAGAATCATCACCACAAGCATAACGGTCAGCTTCGCTCTTGCTCGAACCACTGCGCGACTACCAGGTTAGTACTCCTGCTGCTGCTGACTGCAGTTCTCCAGATGCCTCCCTGGACCCAACAAGGCTCGGTAGGAGCATATAGAACTAAATTCTGAATAACTGGCAACACAGTGACGATTTTCAAGCGTGCGGATTTTTGAACATCTAAACAGATATCATTCGTGGCCCCTTGGCGATCTGGCCGCCCTCAACATATCCAAAACACCTCACTGTGTTATTCCTAAGGCTCCCTATCCAAACTTTTGAATCTTCTCATATTAAGCAGTGCTGCGGTTTTTGATATAAATCCTGCATTACCTTAAGGACCCTAAGCTATGGGAATTATGGTATATTCCTTATTATGGGAAATGCAGGATTTCTATCATCAACCGTGATGGTTGCAATCTAGGCTCAAAGAATCTCGCGTTGCGTCGGCTTTGCCATGGCTGGAAGGCCAAGTGACACATCCGAAAACCCTCAACAGCAAGCCCACCATACCCAAAGGGTCCAAGTACTATTATAGTAGGTACTCAGTAGGTATTTGGGCCCCCAAAGCGTAGACTATACTATTACTTGGACACTTTGGGATAAACCCTAAACCCTGAAACCCAAGCCCAAAGCCTACGTTTAGGCTGTCGCCGTCTCATCCGGGCTTTGTGCACTTTATTCTTTGGGGCTTTCGGCTTCATCTCGGAGGGGGTCGGGTTGAAGCTTAGGGTGTGATGTAACAGCGCAGGTTTTGGGGTTCCGTACTTGGGGCTTCTTTGAGAACTTTACGGGTTCCTTCAAGGGTTGGAAAATCAGGGCTTAGGCTGGGATTCGGGATCAGGGTGGTCGACTGGCGAGCTTCAAAGTCAAGATGTACTAAAACGGCTGTTACAGCCGAAACCGTGCACATCAAGATCTTGGGCTTTCTTCAGTTGCCAGGAAGTAAAACCAGTTTAAGCCCTAGTGTGCATAAGGACTGCCCCGACTGCTACAGTCTAAACCCTAAACCCCCACTGCGTGCCACAACAAAAACCCCAAACGCCCACAAGGCTCTAAGCCCCTCAACAAGGGGGATTCGTGTTTGTAGCTCGAACGTTCTTGCTTCCTTGTCGAGCATTACAGGGTTTCAGGCATAGGGTTAGCTTTGAGGGCTATAGCGGCTATAGGGCTTGGGGACTTATTCTACAATTTATGGCATTGGGGAAGCAGCAGGGCGTCACAGTGGTTTGTCATGGCTCAAACCACGGATTCATGAAGCTGTTTAGGGCCGGGAAATCTGTTGAAGCTCCTACTCCTTGCTAAGACAAGTTACACTTCAGCTGACATCCCCAAATCAGAACCCAGCTTTGGTCTTTCCGGGAGAGCTCTTAGGGCATCATCTTGGCTGGTTCAGGTCGTGGCTTTGGCTTCTCGGATTTGGACATGTTACATAGGATCCGGGGCTTGGGGCATATCATACAGGCAAAGCGTGCCAGGACTGCAACGTACGGATTATTCCCTTCCCTGTCTTAACACCTAACCCGACACCCTACGCTCAAACCCTAATCCTAGCACCCATACCCAACCTAACCCTCAAAATCCAAAACTCCAGAGCGCATAAAGAACCCTTACAGAACCCTTAAGGAACCCTTAAAGGAGCCCTCAAGAACTCATCCCTAGGGCCTCTTGCCGGTGAACTTTGAAAAGGGGAGTCGCCTCACAGGGGCTCCCGAGCTGTGTTTAGGTCGAAGGTTTTAGGGTTTAGGTTAAGGGTTTAAGGTTACGGGGTTTGGATGTTATATTCTAGTTTTGGGCGTTTAGGGTTTAGGGTTTAGGGTCTAGGTTCAGGGTTTAAGGTTCCGGGTTTAGGGAGTTTAGGGTTTTAGATGTTTATATACGGGAGATTCTCACCACTATAGACACAATATGTGCGCATATCTGTATACATAAGTATGCATGAGTATATGCGTGTGTGTGTGGGCATATATGTCATATGTATGAACAGCTTGTCTATGTAAGCATCAAACTTAGATATACATTGGGCTTTTAAGTAATGACGGAGAAAGTATGGTACTCCAGAAGCCCCGTTATAGTACCCTAATTGTTCTAGAAACCCTTATAGATCCCTTTAAGGAACCCCAAAAGAGCCCAGTGCAATACAGTAGAAGCCAGAAAGTTGGAACATCGCTATCCTCATGCCCTTCAGGTAAATGATCGGGAATCCCAACTAATCATCCTAAATCCATGTTCCAACTTTCTGGGGTTCACCATAAAGTAAAAGCCAGAAAGTTGGAATATGATTATCCTAAACCCTTTATGGTAAATTAGAAGGTATCCTACCCTGGTAACCCCTTTACGGTAAATTATATGGGATCCTAACATTAATCCATATTCCAACTTTCTGGGGTTCCCTTTATAGCCACGCAGCTGGGCTGGCAGCTGCCGGCCGGGCGATGCACCGTAGAGGGCGCTCCTGATGTGGGTAGTTGTCAAAATTAGGGTCCCTAGGGTTCCTTTAAAGGGTTCCTTAAGGGGATCCATAAGGGTTCTATAAAGGGTTTAGGGTTTAGGGAGATATGGGTAGTTGTCAAAATTAGGGTCCCTTTTTTGGGTACTCTAAATAATAGGTGCCGTACTATAATAAGGACCCAAAAAGGGACCATAATTTTGACAACCACCCATGTAAGTGATAACACGACGTCGGGTTTAATATACGGGCCTTAATAATTAGAATAGGGTTTATGGGGGGTGTATGATGTAAGTGATAACACGACATCGGGTTTAATATACGGGCCTTAATAATTAGAATAGGGTTTGGGGCCCATTTTAGTAGAGTTATAACAAGGAACCTCCAAAATAGTATAGGCAGTTTATTAAGGCCCCTCCATTACAGGGCTTTGGGTTCAGAGATTTGGGTTTACGGGCTTAGGGTTTAGGGTTTCGGGGTTCAGCGTTCAGGCTGCATTTTGGGATTCCTAACCTACTTTGTGTTTAAAGATCTCTGACCCACTTGGGGGAATTAAAGGGGTCACAGTCTATTATGTTGTAACCTTATGCGTCCAAATACTTGATATCATATACAAAATCCTAACCTACATAACTGTTACCCTAAACTTGAGTACCTAATTACTGGGTCCTTTGGACCCTTCGGGTAAGGTTTGGGCGAACAGGGAGAGTCTAGCAAAAAGGCATAGCGCCTGAGTCTCCCAAAAGAGTCCTTTGTTTCTGTAAGACAAATGGCCCCAAAACCAGCAACTCACTCAAGGCGCATGGTGCTGTGGTTCAGGATTCCGGGTCCTGCAAAAAACTCTAGCCTAGGGCCTAGGGTTTAGGGTTCAAGGCTTCGGGTCTTAGAATACCTTAACCCCAAATAACCTACCTTCTTAAGGAATTATATAAGGAAACCATAATAGGGAACCCCTAAAAGCTAGGCTCTTTAGGGTCTTAGCATAGGCTATACGGTGTCGGGCGTTAAGGTTCCAAATCGGAAACCTCATCTCTAAACATTAAACGAACCCGAAGCTCATCCCCAAAGCTGAGGCCCTGATCCCTAAACTTTGGCCCCAAGGACCCAACTCTGTAAGCCCTACCTGGACCCCAAAAGTATGTAGAATCATAGCCTTTCATAGCGGTTGGGCCATGGTTTCACCCACTTCTGCGGGGTTTCGTACCGTAAAACCCTAAACCGCTAGACCCAGGCCCCAAACCCTAAACCTCTCAAGAATTCCCGTCCTGACGCTGATCCTCCGGACTCAACTCTCGGAGGGCCGTGGCGAAGCGAGGGGCGACGTAGGACCAGGGGCCCATGTTTACCGGCTCCTCCTCGTTTGGGGCTATCGAGTTAGGACGCGTTTGGGGGGCTTGGGGGTTTAGGGGGTCTAGTTTGGGGCGTTGAGGGTTTAGGGCTTGGGGTTTAGGGTCTAGTTTGGGGTTTGGGGTTTAGAGGGTCTAGTTTGGGGCGTTGAGGGTTTAGGGCTTGGGGTTTAGGGTCTAGTTTGGGGTTTGGGGTTTAGAGGGTCTAGTTTGGGGCGTTGAGGGTTTAGGGCTTGGGGTTTAGGGTCTAGTTTGGGGTTTGGGGTTTAGAGGGTCTAGTTTGGGGCGTTGAGGGTTTAGGGCTTGGGGTTTAGGGTCTAGTTTGGGGTTTGGGGTTTAGAGGGTCTAGTTTGGGGCGTTGAGGGTTTAGGGCTTGGGGTTTAGGGTCTAGTTTGGGGTTTGGGGTTTAGAGGGTCTAGTTTGGGGCGTTGAGGGTTTAGGGCTTGGGGTTTAGGGTCTAGTTTGGGGTTTGGGGTTTGGGGTTTGGGGTTTAGAGGGTCTAGTTTGGGGCGTTGAGGGTTTAGGGCTTGGGGTTTAGGGTCTAGTTTGGGGTTTGGGGTTTAGAGGGTCTAGTTTGGGGCGTTGAGGGTTTAGGGCTTGGGGTTTAGGGTCTAGTTTGGGGTTTGGGGTTTAGAGGGTCTAGTTTGGGGCGTTGAGGGTTTAGGGCTTGGGGTTTAGGGTCTTGGGGTTTAGGGTCTAGTTTTTGGGGTTTGGGGTTTAGAGGGTCTAGTTTGGGGCGTTGAGGGTTTAGGGCTTGGGGTTTAGGGTCTAGTTGGGGTTTGGGGTTTAGAGGGTCTAGGGCGTTGAGGGTTTAGGGCTTGGGGTTTAGGGTCTAGTTTGGGGTTTGGGGTTTAGAGGGTCTAGTTTGGGGCGTTGAGGGTTTAGGGCTTGGGGTTTAGGGTCTAGTTTGGGGTTTGGGGTTTAGAGGGTCTAGTTTGGGGCGTTGAGGGTTTAGGGCTTGGGGTTTAGGGTCTAGTTTGGGGTTTGGGGTTTAGAGGGTCTAGTTTGGGGCGTTGAGGGTTTAGGGCTTGGGGTTTAGGGTCTAGTTTGGGGTTTGGGGTTTAGAGGGTCTAGTTTGGGGCGTTGAGGGTTTAGGGCTTGGGGTTTAGGGTCTAGTTTGGGGTTTGGGGTTTAGAGGGTCTAGTTTGGGGCGTTGAGGGTTTAGGGCTTGGGGTTTAGGGTCTAGTTTGGGGTTTGGGGTTTAGAGGGTCTAGTTTGGGGCGTTGAGGGTTTAGGGCTTGGGGTTTAGGGTCTAGTTTGGGGTTTGGGGTTTTAGAGGGTCTAGTTTGGGGCGTTGAGGGTTTAGGGCTTGGGGTTTAGGGTCTAGTTTGGGGTTTGGGGTTTAGAGGGTCTAGTTTGGGGCGTTGAGGGTTTAGGGCTTGGGGTTTAGGGTCTAGTTTGGGGCTTGGGGTTTAGAGGGTCTAGTTTGGGGCGTTGAGGGTTTAGGGCTTGGGGTTTAGGGTCTAGTTTGGGGTTTGGGGTTTAGAGGGTCTAGTTTGGGGCGTTGAGGGTTTAGGGCTTGGGGTTTAGGGTCTAGTTTGGGGTTTGGGGTTTAGAGGGTCTAGTTTGGGGCGTTGAGGGTTTAGGGCTTGGGGTTTAGGGTCTAGTTTGGGGTTTGGGGTTTAGAGGGTCTAGTTTGGGGCGTTGAGGGTTTAGGGCTTGGGGTTTAGGGTCTAGTTTGGGGTTTGGGGTTTAGAGGGTCTAGTTTGGGGCGTTGAGGGTTTAGGGCTTGGGGTTTAGGGTCTAGCTTGGGGTTTGGGGTTTAGAGGGTCTAGTTTGGGGCGTTGAGGGTTTAGGGCTTGGGGTTTAGGGTCTAGTTTGGGGTTTGGGGTTTAGAGGGTCTAGTTTGGGGCGTTGAGGGTTTAGGGTTTGGGGTTTAGGGTCTAGTTTGGGGCTTGGGGTTTAGAGGGTCTAGTTTGCGGCGTTGAGGGTTTAGGGCTTGGGGTTTAGGGTCTAGTTTGGGGTTTGGGGTTTAGAGGGTCTAGTTTGGGGCGTTTTTAGGGTTTAGGGTCTAGTTTGGGGCGTTTGGGTTTGGGGTCTAGTTTAGGTTCTACGGTCTTGGGGCGTTTAGGGTTTAGGGTTTGGGACGGGGAACAGGGCTTAGGGTTCAAAAGAGCAAGCTCTACTTGGCGAGTTAGACAGTCAGACATCACCAAGGATCCTGGATCTTGAAAGGCCTTAACGATGAGACTCGGGTTCTGGAGGCGAGTACACTCTAACGCAAAGGGTCCTATGTACCGTTATGGGGGGGAAACTTCCCCGGATCATAATAGTAATTCCTAATAAAGAAGCCATACATTCTACTGGAAAAGTACATAGGACCCTTTGGGTAAGTAAAGTATCTTCGGCAGCCCCACTGACTAAGCCAAAGACCTGGACCCAAACGATCTCGGCGTTCGGATGCTGCGCAGCCACAACCTTATCACGGAGAGGAGAAAGAGGCAGATAAGGGATCCCTAAACCCTATAAACCCTAAACTCTAAAATAAGGGTACAAAAGAGAAAAGTCAATGTAAAGAATCAACAGGCCTAGTCAGCAGTCCATGTACCCCAAACAGTAGATACTTGATGGGCCTTAAAGTACTCCCTACCTAGATACATTGCGCCCCAAGTATATTCTATACTGAACTTGGAATCCCAGCAAAAAAAGTTATTTTAGCTGTTTCTTAGGGATTATAATGACCAAAAAATTAAAAATTAGATCTAAGTAACCCTAAGTATATACTACTTGGGTACATGCACCCTTATACCCTACAAACCCTATAATCGAATCCTGAAAATAAATCCTAAAGGGACCCTAATTGGGTACATGGACCAGTATATACTACTTGGGCACATGCCCTAAACCCTAAACCCCTAAACCCTAAACCGCAAACCGGGGGACTGGGCTTGAGGTGCTCCGGGCTTTGAAGCTCCGGATCTCTCGGTCGCTACAATTGTCTTGTATACAGGCCTTAATAAGGTTCCTTTAACCGGATCCTTATAAGGGGATCTACAAGGGATGTATAAGGGTACTATGGTACAGGGGTCTTAATAAGTAGAATAGGGTTTTGGGGGCCTATTACACCATAGCTATAGTAAGCAACCCTAATTACCCTAATATAGGGGCCTTAATAATTTGAATAGGATTTTGGAGCCCATGATACTATAATCAAAGTAAGAGCCCTCAAGATAGTATAGGAAGTTATTGAGGCCCCTGTATCGCTACCTGGAACTTGGGGTTTCTGCCTGATAGGCAGATGGGCTTACACTTCGTCACTTTGTAGGCTTGGGTGGTGCAAGTAATGCCGCACTTGGAGGCTCAGGGCTTGGGCACTGACAGCTTAGGGCGTGATACGGAAAACCTTGACCAAACCCCCAAGGCTCTAATCCCTTAAGCCCCCACTTTGAGATTCCAGAGCCCACTTGCTCAAGCGCCGCTAAGGGCTTTGTCGCTTCTGAATGCAGGCCCCTACGATATCCCTTAGCCACACATTTCCAAAAGCAGAGCCGGAGCTCGCAAATCCTGAGGTGCCTTTGCCAAGGTGCTGCTACCGACATAGCTGGAAAGGGCGCAACCTCGAAATTGTATACGTTTGCGGGATGAAGCCATTGTTCAATTGGGAATTGTCCGTTTCATGGTGTCATGTTAGTTTAAGTTCCTGAGTAGCCCCTTTGTAATAAGAGTACCCTTTTCCTAACATTCAGGTTTGATGAGAACTACAAGGGGCAAAAGGGTACTACTCAGGAACCTAGGAGTTGTCGTCCCCTTTTTGATTGGGGTTACGTTTGCAGGCTCTGGGATGAGGATCTCGGGTTTGGTGTGTAAATGAAACTGCAAAGACCCACGCAGGAGGGTTCTTCCTCAATGGGGACCCAGCAAAAAAAAGTATGTAGCAGTCCCGGAAATGCAATAAACGGTGTCATCCTACTTTGAAACTCTGAAGGACAAAGAGTTCACCAATAGAAAAAGGTCAATACAGATTGCACTAACAGTGTCATGATACGAAAACTCATTAATAACTTAATCATAGCCCGCTCACTGTTCAGGTCGACCGGAAGAAAAAACGTTTCACTCGGCATCCAAAACCGGTGTGGCAGATCATGGGGCTTGGAAGAGGTTTGGTACTTGCGGGGTTCCTTGAAGGGTTCCTTTCAGGCAGAGACGGTAGGGTTTGCAGCGGCTCGGATAAGGGAAACCCAAAAAGCCAAAGGAAACAAGACCTTGGGCAGAACACTCATCTGACTGGGTGATTCACAAGCAGGTCCATTTAAGGAAGGCTTGTTCCTAAAAGATCAAGCCCTTGGTAGGGTTTAGGCTTGAAGGTTGGGTTTGGCATGGTGTATTCACCGCCCTTGTCCTTTGAGAAACAATAGACAGAGCCCCATACCTATATCCCTAAGTAGGAACCATGAAAAAGGACAAGGCTGGTATTCACAGTTCGAAGTTTGGATGCAAGGTTTCTGCGCTCTGCGGTGTTTTCGTCTGGGCCTTGCACTCCCTACAATTACGTCAGTAATTTGCATAGGGTCTAGTTTTTCTTTTGTTGGATGGTTTTTGGTGGTGCCTTTAGGATTAGGGGCATAATTTAGGCCGTTTATGCCTCGGTTGTAAGGCCCTAATTACGGTTGACAAAAGCAGTCCTACAAATTCCAAGTACCCGCAGCAGATCGGGATATCGTTTCTCTTGCACCAAGTCACCAAGGATTCTGGGTCTGGGTTCCTGGTCCGGGGTTCCGGGGTTTAGGTTCCGAGTCGTCCAGGGTTCTGCGTTTGGGTTGGGATGCGGCTGTTCCGGATGGAGGGGGGGGGTTCCAGGCGGCTAGGGACGAGAAAAGCGTTGTTATGTCAAACGAAGGCTGTTATCGATCGCCCGTATGACAGCCTGTAACTCCACTTAGCACCTTGCAAGATCTCGCCAGCACCCAAACACACTTGGACGCTGCAACTCTGAACACATGAAAGTCGACTTCGTTACTGAGTTCATAAGTTCCAACATGTGTACACTCTTAGTTTTATAGTGGGTAATATTATCCCAAAACGTGTAAAGTGCACCCACTCAGCTACTAAGTCAAGGGCCGCCAAAGTTCTCTCAGCAGCCAAGATGCTTGCTCCAGTCGCTGCAGTGCTACTACACCTGACGCGAAAACGGGATAGCTGTTTTCATATGTCCGATATTGTGTTCTGCACGTCAGAGTTTGGCATGACAAATTGCTGGTTGCAGATATTGCTAGGAATCCCTTTGCACCATGTTGCTGCGTTTGTTCTTGCTCGACTGGCATCGCTGATCTTGCGATTCCTGCCTGTGTTCTGAATTAATTCAATTAATTCGGCCCCACTAATCGCGAGATCCTCGCCCGCGATTCGACGACACGAGCATGCAACCTTTCCCTCCAACCAGAAGATGCCAAAGCCCCCCAGCAAATCAACCGGTGCGACTTGCTTGCATTTTTGTAATAATAGTAGTAACGTTTAGGGTTTAGGGTTTAAGATTTAGGGTTGAGGGTTTAGGGTGTAACAATAGCAATAACACTAGCAATCACACTAGAAAAGTGAATCTGTAAGCAAAAATGGTTGAGCACACTGTGTTGACACGGGCCTGCCAACCCTCGCACACATCGGGCATGGTGCAGTTCGTAAAACACCTGGCAGTTTTCTGAGTCGGGGCTTAGGGTTACTTGGAGGGTCGGGGGACTTAGCAACTGGTTGTTTTAGGGACTTATAAGTACCATAATCCCAATTAGGGTCCCTTTTAGGGCACTTATAAGTCTACTTACTAACTACTTACTAAGTCCCCCGACCCCCCAAGTAGGGTTATGGCGTAATAATATACTGGTGATAAGGCGCCCTAGAGAATAATCTACCATAGTTCTGATACGGAGCCCGAAGGTAAACACTAGTAGTTCCCAAGCCTGTACATACAGTAAAGCTAAACCCTAAGCCCTAGGTTTATGGCGTCGGGACGATGAAAGAGCTTCATGCTAGGCTCTTACGTAGGGGTGTACGGGGCTTCGAGGTTGGAACGGCTTACCCTTAGGCTCTAAGGACTCATATTTTGAGGCTATTTGGGCCCAAAGACCATACTATGTAAGGCTTTTGGGCTATTTTGAGCCTTAGGGTTATGTTCGAAAATGTATTCGAGCATGCCAACTGCGACACCTCTCGACACCGTAACTGCATGGCATCTTTTGCAAGCCCCGTCTCTGGCATGTCCAGAGCCCAGAGATATTTAGCAGCGTGCCTGAACCCCAAACCCAGTAAGCAAGCAACCCTAATAACCCCAATATAGGGGCCTTAATGATTTAAGTAGGGTTTTGGGGCCCATGATACTATAACTGTAGTAAGGAACCACCAATTCAGTACTGGTAATTAAGAAGGCCGCTGTATTAAGCAAGAACCCCTACCACCCGGTATGTTCGACTCGCAACTCCAAAACCCTTACCTATGGTTTCACTTGTAATTCCTCTTTTAAACTACCCATAAGCCCCATAGTAGTTCCTTTTTGGGATTACCTGATAGGATTCTATATACGAACCCCAAAAAGGAACTACTTTGGGGCCTTTGGGTAGCTCTATGGTTAGGATCCTATGGCAATTCCTTGTTTAGGAGCTCTATGGTTGGGATCCTATGGTATCAATTTGGGTTAACCAAAAGGAAGGAACTCTAATGGAGACTATGGGCGTTCTCAACCTGTCGGATTCAAACCAAACCTTCCAAACCCTGCAGTATAAACCCAACCCGCCCAAAACCCAAGGAAATAAACGTTGAAACTTTCAGAATCGACTACCGTGTAAGAGCCCCAAAAGTCTACAGTAGGCTTAGAAACTTGTTAGATCTCAAGGCTTCTTACGTGTCGGGTATCATGGGGAACTGAAGGTTAACCTTTTTGATTACATAGGGATTATATAAGGACTGTGCTACCAAAAAAAGTTGAACGTTATCTACTCTACTACTAGGCCTTCTAAACCCTGCCGTATAAACTTAACCCCTCGCACCTACATACCCTAAACTTCAATTCTAACAGCCCCTAAACTCACACATCCTAATACCTAAACCCTCAGCCCCTAAAGTCCTGAACCCCTAAGTCAATGCGCTCGCCTTGCCGCTGCAGAAGATTAACCTCTTGCAGGTGGCATTGGCATCTGCGGCCTTGCAGACATGGGATTAAGGGTTTAGGGACAAGGATTACTATGTAGCCAGAGCGGGGCATATACGTAAACCCTTAGATTACGGCAAAGGAACACTGTTTCGGCCTTACGGCCTTGACCCCCAAGGCTCTGTTGTCTCAGGATGTAGGGTGGGGTTGAGGCTGTTGGCAAAGAATCTCGGTTCTCAAACAAGACTGTTAAAAAGACCACAGCCTGGTATCCCAGTACGAATCAGTACGAGCCACAGCCGAACTTTTGTCCCACCCCGCCTCTGCCGCCATGTTGTCGCCGCTGCCGCCCTCCTCCACACAGAAAATCCGACCATAGAGCTGTTTTTCTAGGTTGTGCTCTGCATTCTTTCAGGGCTCCTCTATGCGAGATCTGCGTGCAGTTGCTTTCTGTGTGTGCGTGGTCTCTGCTTGCAATTCCAAAGCAGCCGCCGGGGTTACAAGCCAGCTGATGCTAGCTATTGTACACCCCGCTTATTGAGCACGTGGATCGCTAGTCCTTCTGAGAAACACAAGGCAGAAGTATGGACCACTTAGACTGTACGATTCGACCTCCGGTGACATTCCAGCATACAGGTAGGGTCTATACTGAGGGATACCGGGCACATGGATCAAGGGCCATTTGGTCCCGAAGGAACTGACAGCCGACACACATCAATATCATTCAATATCTATCAATACCAAAAATCTCGGGCTGTTTGAGCAGGAACACCAACAATCAGAAGCCAAGGTAATTAACGCCTACGAATATGCTATGTACTAAGGCGAGAGCTCAGCACTGGTTTCCCTGAACCCTAAACCCCAAACCCAATAGACCTATATAAGGAAACAGGCGCATAACAAAAACCTGGTAGTTTCCTGCTTGCTAGGAGCATCCATGGGCAAATCATAACATCCGCCCAGACCTCATCCGTTCCCCAGAGCATCCATGCGCCAAAACCATGATAACGTCCGCCCAGACCTTATCCGTCCCCAGAGCATCCATGGGTCAACCATCCACATAGATCACACATTTGCTCCCCAGTGCACGCATGGGTCAACCCTGGTATCAACCACCCAGACCTCATCCTTTCCCCAGAGCATCCATGCGTCAACCCCGACATTATCCCATCCAGGCCTCATCGTTCCCCAGGGCGTCCATGGGCCAAACCATGATAGCATCCACCAAGACCTTACCCGTTCCTCGGAGCATCCATGGGCCAAAACCAGAACAACGTCCATCCAGACCTCACCCTTCCCCAGTCGAAGCCCATGATAACCTCCGTGCAGACCTCATCCGTCCCCCAATAGCATCTGTGGGTCAACCGTGAGCATCCAGAGCCCGACTGTGATAACTTCCATGCAGACCTCATCCTTTCCTCAGAGCGTCTTTAAACAACAAATCTGATAACGGCCACCAAGACCTCTGGCGCTCAAAAAGCCAACGGCACATATTGCATCATATGACTGGGGCTCCGAGCATAAACTGCTGGCGGCAGAAGTCCCAAGACTCCCTTCCCTCGTCGTCCCATGCGAAGCGAATCCAAATGTCTTTAGATACCTCTGTGAGTTCGTGTTCAGGCCGCTTACGCAAGACCTCATTCTGGCTAGGGCTGACATTTCCTAGTTCGTCCTGCTGTTCTGATTTCCAGATTTTCGCCCAAACATCATCGTATGTGCACAAAACAGCGGTTCTTGTGGATGTTCAGACACTACCCTATGCTTTCCTAATCCTCCGGCTGTCAGCCTAGCCACCGAGTTCCGAACACGCAGTGCCCAAAACCCTAACAAAAAGCACGTCGCATGCGTTTCGTCTCCAGGTATTTTGTGTGCCTGTGACCCCTATAAGGGTAATACAGCGGTGCTTTTCCGCAACTTAAAGGCAGAGACCCTGGCTTCGAAGAGCGGCACCACAAAAGCCATGAAGCGGTAACCGGAATACCAAGCGCTAGTACAGGGGCCTTATAATACCTACCTATACTAGTTTGGGGGTTCCTTATTATCGTTATCATTAACGTATAATAATGGGCCCCAATACACTATATTCTATGCAATTAAGGCCTCTATATTAATCCCGGAAGCCCTGAACCGCAACCACCACTAAAACACTTGACTGAGCCCTACGGCCTCACAACCGCGTACGTGCTCTCGCCTCTGACACGGACTGCTCGACTGCTGTAGGAGTTGTTCGACTTCATATGCGTCTTCGGTATAAAAACGGGAGCAGCCAGACAACAATAACACACTTGGAGGAACATGACAATCACAAGCGCACGACCGGAAACAGCCAGAAAGAAAAGGGCAACCCCAAAGCCCCGAACCTCAGTCCCAACCATAAACCCGAAACCCTGCGCCCTAAACACTACCCATAGTCACCATTGTATTTCCTTTTCTGGTTAACCAAACTTACATACTCGGACCCTAACTATATTAAAAATGGCTAACCAAAACAGGAACTGCAATGGAGGCTGTAAGTAAACCCCTAAAGTCTCACTCCTGGATCACACGCTGGAATCTCGTTCCCGATGCCAAGTGGGCCAAAGGGGACCGGCAGGGCCTCCACAGAACGCTTGGTCCGAAAAGGGGCTTAATCAAATAGCCACGGTGCTCAGTTTTCTTCCATAGGGACTTCACTGGGGCACTTTCTCGGCTGCGCGACTAGCTCGATTTCAGGGCCCGACGATCCCGTGAACAGTTGGGGACTCTGTGTCTGCTGTACGTCTTTGCAAAGGCCCATGCCATGCGGTTCTATGAGTGCGGAGCACGATATAAGGTGGGATACTTTTCTCCTGGTACACTGCCACAACCACCTCCTCCCGCCCCTCACGAAAAGGAGCCAACGTTAGCCAACGGAGCCGCAATTAGACTCACTCAAGCTCTCATGAAAGACCTGCTTCGTATCAGACCCACTGACTCACAAAGCCCAGCAGCACACAATCCACGAGAACGGTTTTTTCAATCGAATGCAATGCCTTAGGTAGTTGACAGCATATTGGCGGATTCAAGGCGTACGGCCTAACTGTAGATTGGGTTTAACGAGAAGCAGCCGCAAACATCTAACCTTTGGCACCTTTCAAACCCTTGTTACCCTGTAGCTCCTTTGACAACCCTTAAGATCCGTATGACACCGTATCAGATCCGAAGGAAACCCAAAAACAACACTGCCATGCTGAATGAACCATGCAATTTGCCCAGGACCCCAACCGAGCAAACCTCATTACCAAGGCATAGAATGTAGCTGCATGAATTCGTTATAAGGTGTTACAGGCTCTTGTGGAAGGGGTTTGGTTGTGTTGTACACGTTGTCTTAACTATATATGTATGTATGTATACATGACGAGCGTAAATGCAGCATGATTCATGCTCAACTAGAACAAGGTTTTGAAGTACATAATGGCCTGTTCATATACGTTCTTGTGTTTTGTAGGTTCGTGATGTGCAACCACCTGATGGCGTATTTGGAGCTATGAAGCCTTGACAAGCAGACCCGAAGTAAGCCGCACACAAAACTGAAACACCAGCTCAACCTCTGAACCCTAAACGCCAAAAGCGAAACCGTCAAACCCTGAAAGCTCGCATAAACCCCTAGATACATCCACAACCCCCTTAGCCCTATGCTGTAAACAGACACCCTCCCTTCCCATGGGCCGCCTGTGATGAAGCAAATATTTTGCTGACATCAATATGAGGGGCTTGGCCTGGGCATTGGAACATAAAGATCCTGTAAAGGTAATAACTGTAAAAGGAACCTTTCAAAAAGGATCTACCAGAGTTCCATAGGGTTCAAGGCTGGGGGTTCAGTTTCTAAACGTGTATTTCAGGTTGCGTGTGGTTTGACGGTGGTTTGGGGTTCGGGGCGATCTGCTCCGACGAGGATGGACAAGACTTTAGCCTAAGGCCTCGAAATACGGCGTAGGTTTCTGGGTACGATATGAAGTATCTCTGATGAAGAGTCTTAGTGATTGAAAACGATTTTCACTGGGAGAGGACGTCGAGGCCATCGTAGGCCTATCGTCCCAGAAAACAAAATAGCTGCACACTATAAAGAGTCTGCTAAAACAGTTCAAGTGAAGCATGCCCGGTCCAAAGCACCAGAACTTCACTACGAAACACTTAAAGGCAGACCAAACTGTTCAGCTGAAAGGGGTATCCAAAGCCAACTAACACGTACCAGACCAAACTACTGAAACCGGAGCGAACAAGCAAAGGGAAGCAACACCCAACACACAGGAGATCAGACCAGAGACAACCAGAAAACAGAAACCGAGATCCGGGGGGAGAACGACCAGAACAATGACAAGGCGAAATGGAGCACCGCACACAGACTGCAAGCTAGGAGAGTCGCTACTCAACATGTTTCACTCCGCAACACAACCGCGAGAGAACCGGTGCCGTTCTCATAGTTCAAAAAACCGGGCAGCACCGGTTGTACTCAAGTAGTCGGGCGGTGCCGACCACTACTGTTCACGCCGCAAACTAATCTCAAAAAACCCATACCGTTTTCGCAACACCATGCCGAGCATTCCAAACAAACATAGTAATACCAAACAAAAGGACCAAGCCGCGCTACAATAAACGCAGAAGAAGCACACCTCAACGCCGCTTGGGGTCGCGAGCCGCGTCCACCGAAAGCCGCTTGTCTGCCCCTCGCTTGGAGCCCAACTGTGCCAGCGTCCAAGGAGAACCTTGTATCCCACCTTTCCCTTGAGACCACTCCCGCACTGACTCCTCTGTGAACGAGTGAACACTTCACCGTGCAGGGCACCTGGTAAAATCGTCCTGGCTTGATTCCCAAAAGCGGCCATGAGCCCAGCTTCTTCGACACAGCCTCTTTAAATCTCTTTAACCATGATCGAATCCAAGGCTCCTCTTGCAGGCAATCCTTCAATATTGTGCCGATAGAGCAGGGTGAAAATGAAAGGCTTGTTGGGATCAGGCTCTTCTGGCATGCGGCAGTTGCAAGCCTCCATGGCGCTTGGGGGGGTTTGCAACGTAGACTTAACCGGGTCAAACAGCCCCGGCTCCACGAGTTGCTCAACCACCGCAGAGTGCAACTGAAACTTGACGGGTGCTGGAGGGGGGAGCCTGGCTCCTGAACCTGTTCCCGCTGTGTCCGTGCTGCCCACTGCTTCCCCACTCCCTGTTCCAACCTGACCTCCCCCCTGTGCTGCTGCAGCCCTTTTTTCCTAGGTCCTAGGCCCTGAGTAGTTCGAAGCGAAACAAAGAACCAACCTGCCGCTCCTTTCCTTACCTTGGCAGTGGCTGCCGAAAGCCTGGCCGCTGCCTGTAGTCCTCGTTCGAGGGCATCGACGATGGACGGCAAGTCGGCCATGGCGTCTCCCGGTAAGTAGTAAAGGCTTGAGCTGCCATGCTGCAATCAGGAGCGATAGAAGCGAAGTAATGAAAATGTACGCGCATCAGATGACATTTGACTGATGATTGCTAGTAAAGAGGTCTCCCTCAACTTCTTGCTGTTGACAAACCGGACAGAGCATAGGGAAATCCCTTGCCTACAACCGGTGTGCACTTGACATGTGTAGAAGTAAGCTGTGATATCCCGGCCAGTATCCCGTACAGAACGGACAAAAATACGGGTTGCGCAGTCGGCCATGTTCATAGTTTAAATGTCGTCAGTCTGGCCTGGCCTCGGTTTCAAAGCAGCGAAAGCACCTGGGGCAATTGAATCCCTCCGCCCTATAGGTACCTTCTTTATGTGAAATATGCTTGTGCGCGGCCAGGCCAGCCTTGCCTTGGAATCATAACTGCATGTGCATCCCGGAAAGCTGCATTTAAAGCTTCCCTCCGCAACTCCTTTGTCCTTGGTACATATTCACGCTCTTTAATAAATTCAGCTAGTTTTCGTATCGGAGGGTTTAGGGTCACAGGGTTTAGGGCTTAGGTGGACAGCATGTTGAACAAATACCATGTGGGTAGTTCTCTAAATTGAGAACCACAAACTGATCCTTCCCATGTAAAAACTCAAGCTACTTCGACGGGGTTCGTGACTTAGGGCTAATAGATTTGAGAGTCATCTGAATCAGAACACTTCCCATTTGGATGTTCACCAATACACTGAATGCTCGAACCCTAAACTCTGAACGCCATCAGGTGCTATCGGAAAAGTTGATACTACCATCCGGTTCTTATATGTTTGCACTCTGACATCGTTTATCCAAAACCTTTCCTCAACTATCCAGATCCCTATACTCTGATACACCCCAACACCTTGCGTGAAATCTTCAGATCTCTATAGTCTGCGCATATCTTTGCATGTTCTGGTGCTGAGCTCGCCGCGAAAGTGCGATGCACCTGCCTGCAGAGCTCGGGTCGGTTGAGACTGGTTAGGATTCATTTGGGGCTTCTTGAAAATAGGGCTACCTTATGTAAGGCCACTTCCCCCAAGGATTAGGGTCCCCGATAGTCGGACATTCCCACATATTAGAGTTCTGGTTTCAGGGTTCCGGTGGTTGGTGGGGCCTGTAGGGTATATATTGGAGGGGAACGTTCAGGATCTAGGGACGTCTGAGCGTTTAGGGCCGCTTAGGGTTGAGGGCTTTGCCCTAAGGGTCCAAGTACCTGATAATCATATACTCTCTTCAAAATGGAGCCACATAACTACTATCCTAAACCCAAGTACCTAATTATTGGGTCCTTTGGACGCTTAGGGTTTGGGGCTTGTGGGTTGCAACTTTGAGGTCATATAAGCTGTCCGGTCATTCAGGAGCTAAATGACAAGAATGGACAGGGGGGGGGGGGCTGGCATACTGTAGACCAGTGATAAACGGGAATTTGTCTACTACACACCCCCGCGACATCCGAAATCCTAAAGTCTCAGCTATATATTATGTAGGCTTTGTTGCATTCAGCAGCCTCCTCAGAACGTGGAACAAGTTGGCCGGTGTGGTGATGTACCTCAGGACGTTACAGCAAGGAGGCCATTCTTCGCCCAGATTCGCCTCTGATCTACGTTTTGCCATTTGTGGGTGGATTTGTTTGGCTGGGCTCTTTTCTTGGATTCGGGTTTGGGCTTTCGGCTTCGGGTTTCGGTTTGCAGCCCTGAGCACGCAGGCTCCTTCATAATGGAGCGCCCTAGACTCTGGACCCTTGTGAAGCCTTCGATGTCTCTCTCGCTCTCTCTCTCGCTCTCTCTCTCTCTCTCTCTCTCTCTCTCTCTCTCGCTCTCTCTTTTTCTCTCTCTGTGTGTATATATGATTGTATATGTACGCATACACATTCAAAACATTCTTATACGTATGCATGAATAGAAATATGAAATATGGCCCTGCCCTTCATAAGTCCTTTGATCCTTTGAATCAGACAGACGCACGGCGAGCGGCGCCACGAGCATGTTCCGGCAGTAGTCGAAGCTCTCCTCTCCGCAAAGCCCAGCATGGCACATGCAATTCAAGCGATACCTGCAAGCCCAAAACCTACATATACGTGTGTATATATGTAAGTATATATATATATATGTAAGTATATATATATATATATATATGTAGAAAATATTGTAGAATCATAAACCTGCATACCTATATATATATATATATATATATACAAATCCCGAAGCTCCTCCAGGGCCCCCAAACCCAGAGCAAAACCCTACAGCCTGCAAAGACCCTGCGCAAGCCTGAGTAGCTCAACAGATACAAGCTTGCAATAGAACCCTTGCATTTCCCGAAGCACCACCCACGGTATATATATATATATATAAATACACATATAAATATGTATATGTATATATAAATATATACACATAAACACATACATATGGTATAGAGAACCCTAGCATTTCCCAAAACGCCACCCACACTGCTTCGTGCCTGCAGGACGGCTAGGCGGCCCACACTGCGCTCGACAGCGAGGGCCTTGGACTGCACGGTTTGGGACGGTCTTCAGGGTTTTGGGTCTATGGGCCCTAAACCCTACACCCTAAACACCGTCGTTCATGGGTCCCTCTTTACGACCATTTCCCTCAAAATGTAACTTATCAATAATTACCCTATACCCATCCCAACCAAACTGAACCCCAACGTCAAATCGTCAACCCTTATAGAACCCTTGCGCGCTCGGCGTCGGTGTGCATGCTACTAAAGTTTATACCTTCCACCTCGCGGTCCAACGAAAGGAGCACGTAGGTCTGCAAAACGAGGCAGCACGCAGCTCTTTCTGATGAGTTCCAAGGCTTTTGGGTTAGGGGAACTTTGCGTAGATCCAAAAGGTGTGTATATATTGCACCTCGACTTTTTTCTTTCAGCTGAGGCAGGACGCAGAAGTTTTAGTAGCCTGCTGTGCAAGGCAACGCGTTTGGGAGCCCCGTGATTATAAGGTATTCTTATACTGTGAAGGAAGCCTATGGGAGTTTAGGGGATTTGGGGCTTCAAGTACTTGGACCGGCCCAGAACCTGTAACACTGTTAACCACTAAACCCCAATCCCCCGGAACCCTGAAGCCTGAACCCTGAAACCCAAAACCGTAAACCATAAGCCTAAGCCCCTCCCCGCACCCTCAACCTAGACCCCGAGCTCGCCGAGCTCGAAGTACCCAACGTACCCGTGAAGCCTATTGGATAAGATATTTGCTTGAGGGCTTTTGTGTGCTAATATGTCGAATGTAATAAGAACCCCAAGGCAAGAGCATTGCTAAGTATTGAAGCACCTTGCTATCTCCTGAAAACCCCAAAACCCTGAAAGTTCTAGGTTCCTTCAAAACCTAGAATCCCTCGAAACCCTATAGCACAGCCTCTAGAGAGCCTACAGTGAAACCCTCGAAACCCTGGTAGGACTTACAATCAGAAACCTTAAACCGTATTGTTCAAAACCGCCAAATTAAACTCTAAACCCGGAAACTCTGAATTCTAAACCCTAAAAACCTAAACCCTAATCAAACCCCAAACCCTTCAAGCTAATATCCAACAACACTAAACTCTACGCCCTGAACCCCTAAAACCCTAAATCCCAAACCCTTAAAGGAAATCCGGCAGCCCTAAACCCCCAAACAAAAACCTGTAGCCCTAAAAGCCTAAACCCTTAATCCTAATTAAACCCAAAATCCTTACAGCAAACCCCGCAGCGCTGAAGCCTCAGCCAAGGCGCATCGCCCGCGGCCGTGGCTTCGAGGACGTTCGCAACGGCCTCACGCGCCTGGCGCCTTGGAGGAGTTTGCGGAAGGGTTTAGGTTTCCGTCAAGGGAGTTCTTAGGGTTCTATACGGCTTTAGGGTTTCGGGAGCTCGGTTTCGTTGAAGGGTTTAGGGCTCATGTATGGGACATGTTAGAGTTCCATTTTTCTATGGGGTTTAGCTTTTTTGGTGGCTAGGTTTCGGGTTTTAGGGAAACTTGGCACGGTTGGCTAGCCGTTGATACTCAGAATATGGACCCCTTCCCTTGAGGGTTCCCGCAAAGGCTTCCTTTAAGGGTAATGTACTACAAGGAGTTTCATATGCCAGCCGGCCTTGAATATGGGAACGGGATTTTGGTGTACGCCCCAGTACAACTACTGTACAAAACCCCAAGGAACCACATTGGGTGATTGTTCATGCCCCACGTATCTCATAACGTTCAGAAAAAGAAGAAAAGGGGAAAATCATCATCCCACCAACCCCAACCTGGTAAAGAACCAAAGCAGGAATAGTCACGCTGACTGTTCCGACTGGCTTGACTTCTATGTCGTGCGATCGCGTAGAGATTCTGCTGTACAGTGTGCTGACTCTGCGGTCCTTTTATACGTAAAACAAACACAGTCTCGATCGTAAAGTTTCTAGACTCCAGATTAATACTGCTGCTACTACAATTTCACATGGTTGCTAGAATTTCTACGGGTGGTCAATAGCTATCTCTATTTATGATGATGATGATGATGATGAGTGTGGCATTAAGTCCATGTAGGTTCCATTTTGTTTTGCCTGGCAGTAGGCAGCTCTTCCTGCGGTTGCCCTGTTTACAACCATACCCAGGACATTCTATATACTGCACTTTAGGCAGGAGCTGCGATGCGTGAAGACTAGCCTATAAACTTAAACTCAGGCTGGGGAAAAAGACAACAATACAGCATGGGGCTCTCTACACCCTAACACCCTCGTGCAAGTGGTTGACCGACGACGCGCGCTTGAGACGAGTTGCTTTGTCTTCTCCGTCAACTCCTCGTTCTCCGCCGGCCACAGGACATTGGGGTCCTGCACGTGCGAATCCAAAACCACCCCAAGTAACAAACAAATATGCATTGTAAAAACGTTAAATGCGAGAACATCTTGTGCAGGTCAGTCATGTGATACATGTATGTGAATTTAAGTATGTTATATATAAAATATCTATACACATTCAAATACATGTTTATATATATATATATACATATTCGATATACACATGTATGACAGATATCTGTATAGTCCCTTCATACGGATGGTGGGTTCCGTTGCCGGATCCCGTTTAGGCTGCTGGTTTACGGCTGCTCGTTTAATAGCTCCAGCCGAAATGCCCTACGCCCTAAAACCTAGCATACACACATATATATATATGCTAGCCCCCCCCCCCAAGACCAACCCTGAATTCCCTAAATTCCTTAATTCCCTACCCATTGGATTTAGGTATTTCCCTAAATTCCCTAAATTCCCTACCCCATGTGTTGGATTTGGGGAATTCCCTATTTCCCTAAATTCCTTAAATTCCCTAAATTCCCTAAATTCCCTAAATTCCCTAAATTCCCTAAATTCCCTAAATTCCCTAAATTCCCTAAGTCTGACCCCCATGGAGAAGATTCAATGGTTTCCGTTCATGGGTAGGGAATTTAGGGAATTTAGGGAATTTAGGGAATTTAGGGAATTTAAGGAATTTAGGGAATTTAGGGAATTTAGGGAATTTAGGGAATTCCCCAAATCCAACACATGGGGTAGGGAATTAGGGAATTTAGGGAATTTAGGGAAATTAGGGAATTTAGGGAATTCCCTAAATCCAACACATGGTCCGGGCTGGGAGTCAGGAATGTTAGGGAATGCGCTAAAACCAACACATGGGGCTGGAAATTAGGGTATGTAAAGACTTTAGGGATTTAGGGAGTCTGCAGGAACTCACGCATTCTGTAAATTCGAGGCATGGAAGCAGTGATTAGAGAATTTAGGGAACTCGACCTCGCGACGTCGCCGGTTGACGTGTCTGTGCAACTGATACTTGTAGTAATATTGATATTATTTTGAAAACTTTGAAAACTATAATACTCATACGAGTACTAATACTTATAGTAATACTACTGGTGAAACTGATAGTATGCTAGTATGAATACTGATGTTCCCAAGAATACTTGAAATCATGTACATTGTATGAATAGTCTTGATGCGAATACTAATATACATACTATAGCTAGTATTATCGCTAGTATGAATATTGGCTATGCATATTCGTGAAATTACTCATTTTTGGAGTACTCATATTCATGCTAATATTAGCACTAAGGCTAGTGCGAACGTGCATAATAACATGCTCATACATGAATGTTAGCATTCGTATTAATATCAGCATTGGTATGTTTTTCAGTAGTACTAGTAACTCATACGAAGTGTAACCTCAAGTTTCATATTCCGACGAATACCAACGCATGTTTTGTTCATACTAATTTTAATTCTACTACTAGTATCTACTCCTAATATTGAAAAAACTGTACTAATACCAATTTTAGAATTGATGTGAACACGAACTTTAATGTTCTTGCCAATACTAATATGCATAGTAATATTAGTTAGCATTAATGTATAGGAAAACTAATGTTCTTACGAATACTAATAATCATGTTCCCCTTTTATATTCATATAAGAATCGTCATGCCTAGATACGTACTAATGCTAGTACTCATGCTAATACGAGTATTAATACCAATACAAGCATAGGTATGAATATTCCTACGGGTATTTATGCTCATGTTCTTAACAAAATTATTCTCAGTACGAATACCGACATTAATAGTCTCTTTAGAACCATATTGATATTAATATGAGCACTAATACTTCGGCTAATACGAACATGCATAATACTAGCAAAATTATTTGTGCTCATACAAATATAGAAAGATTATTACATACTCATATTAATATCAATACCAATATGAATTTACAAACATCATATTAATGTCAATATCGTTTTTGTAATGTATACTAAAGAATACATCAGAATAAGGCACAAGGAAATGAATGCATCAGATTGTTAAAAACTCAATGTTTTCATTTACCAATATGTATGGTTATAGTATTATACTAATATACTAATAAATTAATATACTAATATACTGAGAAACTGATATACCAATAGACCATTGTTACTAATATACCAATATACGAGTATACCCCAAAAAATTTTTATTAATATATATGTTTTGTTTATATACCAATATACTGAATATACACATATGAATACTTATACACATAATGTACTAAGACTAAGTTTTTAAAGCCCAGCCCACGTCTAATATTAATACGAATACTAACACAAACACTAACACTAACACTGCTATAGACATATATTAAATTAAACTGAAGGAATAATACTCATATTAATATTAAGACTAACACTGAGGTTGACACTGACACCAGCATCAGCACTAACAGGAACACTAATCAAACGAACAGTAATATTGGACAGATACCAGCAGCATTGTTAGAACTTCTAAAGTTAGTAATGACACAAAACGAATAATAATGCTAACGCTAGCAAAAATATTAAGGTTACTGCTCACAATAATTGAGGTTCAAACTTAGAACAAAATTAAGTCAAGACCAATGTTAACGCTGTTTTTTAAGACTGAAACTAATAAAAAGACTTTGACAAGATGACAATAATTAATAAAGGATGAGGCACACAAACTGGACTCTGTCTTTTACCACTCCGACAAGACGCGCCGAGAGTGTAAATGGTGTCCATAAAACTGGACCCTGTTTTTTACCAGTCTGTCAAGAGGCGTCGAGAGTGCAAACTTTGTACGGGAACACAAACACCATCGGTATTTACAGTGGTTTCGGCTCTTATTCATGACGCTGTGAAGACAGTAATGAGCAGGACAATGGCCGAGGTTGGTCCTGGGGGGGGGGGTTACCATATATATATATGTGTGTGTGTTTATATTTATGTTTAAAATCGAGGCATACACATGCAGATTCATATTATGACGAACCTGCAAACAAGCAAACAAGCGAATTGAATAACTAAGGAACACACAACAAAACCAAGCAACCAAACCAGCGCGCACACGCACACACACACACACACACATCCCGAGCCAGAATTAAAACCCAGGCTCTGTAGCCCCCGACACCAAACCATGTGCTGACTGCGCTTGCGCTCACGCCAAAAATGCGGAAAGCCCCTCTATCACTCCGCGCCCCTACGTGGAGGTTCCTTAAAGGGATCCTTAAAGGAATCGATGCACTTCGGTGCATGCTGTCGGCGCTTTTTCACAGAACCTGAGCGTCTCCAGCTCACCCTAGACCGCCCCTCAAAAACCCTTAAAACCCCACAAGAAGATTCAAACAAATACATATATATATGTTAGTACATATATATATATAGAGAGAGAGAGAGAGAGAGAGAGAGAGAGAGAGAGAGAGAGAGAGAGAGAGAGAGAGAGAGAGAGAGAGAGAGAGAGAGAGAGAGAGAGAGAGAGAGAGAGAGAGAGAGGGAGACAGAGAGAGAGAGAGAGAGGGAGAGACAGACAGCCATTTAAACCATTCTTTAAACATGAGCCCTCTTGGCTATCTAAAAAGGAGTCAACAGTCCTCGTCCAGGAGCTGGAGAAAACGCTCGGGGCGTGCAGAGGAATGCTCGGGGCCCTGGAGAAGTGCACCGGTGCAGGCGCCAAAGCGTAAGGATTGTAGCTTTGGGATACAGGGGATATCAGAAACCCCCAATTCCGAGATCCGCATGTTCAGGCCCATTTAGACGGGTCAATAGGCTTAGGGTTTCGTAATAATTTCTGTGTTGATATTTAATTTGGGGTTTAGGGTTTCGGACGGTTTCTTGGGTTGGGGCTGAAGTCTCGAGGCTTTGGAATTGAATTTAGGGCGTAGGGCTAGGGTTCCAAGAGGGCTGCAACGGGTTCCTAAGATAACAGTAGTCCCTCCACGACATTTCCATGAATCTATAAACAAGCCCATGACAGGGTTTGGTAAGCATGCATAATAGCTTTGTGGGCGAGATCTTTGGAGTACCTTCACCGAAACCTCTGACCCAGGACATGCTTATATCGGCTTTTGGATTTGGATGCTCCATCAAAATCCACAGTTGGAACATGCCTAAGCGGTAGCTCTAAACCTTAAACCCCTAAACCCAATGCAAATCCTGTCGCAAAGAAGTGTTTGTTGCTGCGTGGTGTCCGTGCACACTCCTGCTCCCACTCCCAAAGGATCCTAAGTACCTGCATGGGGGATGCTTACCCAAACCATACGAGTAATTTGCATTATAGAAACCCTCCATTATACTATAAGAGTCCAGTTCAGAGATGTTCAGAGTCTACCTATAGTCTCCATTGTGGTTCCTTGTTTTAGGATTTTAGGATCCTTAAAATAAGATTGGTAAAACCGAAAAAGAGGAACTGCGATGGAGACTATAGGTAGAAGCCTGGGGTTCAGAGGGGGGTCGGGGATTGGTCGCGTTGGGTTCAGAAGAACTACTTGGGTTGTGGCAGTGGTATGGCACTGTAGAAGCAGACAGAGTTTTGGCAAGTGTATGGTCATTGGTTTACATGCACCCTAAGGGTGAAACGGTTTGAAAAACGGTGCAAGAAATCAAACTAACAGAGGAGAGAAGCCAGTCGAGCGAGTCTAACAAGCAGGATCCATCCAAGAACAACCTGCTCATGCTTCTGCAAGTCATAAGAACGAAATTAAAAGACAAACAAGCTGAGCAGTTACCTTAAGTGGATCCCCATGACCCCACCTGGCCCTCCAGCCCATGCGGCAGCAGCATCACCAGGTTGCTGCAATTGCCCCACCTTGCTGGCGATTCTGAAAGGGCTTCCGGAGCTTTTAATTTAAGCTACAAGGGGTTTACAGGGTCTCATGGGCTGTTACGGTGTAGCGAGGTTTGCGGCTTATAGCAATGATGTTTGGGGCTTTTCAAAGTCATGCTCTAAGTTTGAGGCACCTGTCGCATCACTTTACGCAGTACAGGTCTCCCTCATCCCTAAACCCTAGCATAAAGTGACCTCCTGACTAGTGATGGACCCGGCCTGCACACACTAATGGAAAGGCCCCCCTCAATAGAGCTACATAAACTCGGCCTGCACAGAATAACAAACCACCCAAACGCCGAAGTTCCCATCCTGGTTGAAGCTTCCGGAAAGTAGACACTCCTGCTTAGAAACTGAAGCGCAGGAAGAGGAGAGGCAGAGACAGGCAAGATAGACCTGCTCGTCGGGTATCATGGGGACCTAAAGGTTAGCCGTTGAGTAACCTTTTTCGTTATAGTTATATAGAGATTTTTAGGGGCTATACTAACCAAGAAAGGTTACAGGTTACCTACTCTACTACTAGGAGGAGACACAGAGAGAGATAGCCAGCCAGCCAGACTTAAGGCCAAGGGCTTCGGGGCAAGGGTTTTGGAGTTAGAGTGTAAGGGTTTAGGGTTTAGTGTTTCGGGGTTTAGGGGCCTCCTGTCCTGTCGCGAGAGGGGCCTCGGATCGTTTGATATAGTATAGCGTAGTCTAATATAGCTGAAGTCAAGCCGACATGAACATCATGTAGGGGCCTTAATAATTGCCTATACTATTCTGGGGGGTTCCTTACTGTAATTATAGTATAATGGGACACAAAACCCTATTCTAATTATTAAGGCCCCCATATTGCAAAACCAAAGGAAAACAATGAACCTCTCGTGGCGATGGCCGACATCGATACTGCAGTGCCCACTGCAGGTGGTCCAGCAGGGTGCGGTGAAGGCCCAGCTTCACAAGCTCGTGGCATTGGTTGAGCTTCGTGTGGCACCTGGCCACTCACCCCCCACATCCGGAGACGTCGTGGCGGTGGCATTATTGAAGAAGCCCTGAAACCTGAGTTGCTGGCCATTTCCAGAAATTCGACCATTCGTCGCCCCCGACCATGGGGCTCCTTTGGCGGCATGCAGGTTCGGGTTTCGAACGATTTTCCTCGAACCCCAAACGGGGAGGCCTACCTAGACCCCCAAAAGTATGTAAAATAATGGCCCACACTCCCAAAACCAATAAAACGGCTATTATTCTACATACTTTTGGGCTCCAGGTAGTACCCATAGGCGCCGAACCCTCGACTCTGCCTGCGCCCTGTTGTGCAAACTCTTCTGGTCTTTGGTTCAAGTCTACAAATCTGGCTGAAACCCTAACCCTAAGGGTTCAAAGGACCCAATAATTAGGTACTTGGGTTTAGGATAGTAGTTATGTAGCTACATATTGAAGAGAGTATATGACTATTATTAGGTATACCCTTGAAGGAACCCTAAACCCCTAAAAAAACTCAGACCCCGAACCCACAACGTAACCCACAAGTCTACACATCTGGCTGAAACCCTAAACCCCTACGCCTTAAGCCCATGAATGGCAAGAACCCTAAACCCCTAAAGGAAGCTTAGACCCTGAACCCGCAAAGTAACCCTTGACCGTCAGACCCTCAACTCATAAATCAAGGTATACTTTAATTAAGTTCGTCTGGCTGACTTCTGCTCGCCACTAGCCACGAAGTTATCGATGATGGGCTGCGCGCAGTTGGCGAAGTCGCCAAATTGCGCCTTCGAGGGCGACAGCCGTCGCTTAAGGCTTCCTGTGAAGGGTTCCATAAACGGTATTACAAGGGATCCTGCAAGGCACTACATCCGACAAGGCTACCACAAGGGTTCCCTTACGGGTTCCTTCAAGGGTTGCCTTAGCAGTGCTTCGAAAAGGGTTCCATACATACATGGGTCATTTAGTTTCAAGGCTTTCAAGGCTTGCTTCTCTTTTGGGTTTTCTAAACGGGGCGCGGTTGCTTCCGGTATACTAGCAACGGGGTCTCGGGTTTACGGCTTAGGCGGTTCACGAGTGCAGTTCAGGGGATAAGGCACTTGGGGCCACAAAATCTGATACATGCATAGTTGGACAGAGTTTCGGTTGTGCGCTTTGCACAGACTCTTTACAGAGCCCCCAACCTCGAAGCTCAAACCCGTAAAGCCCCAGGCAAGAAAGCCCCGAATCCCTGTGTCATAATCCCTACCCTAAATAGTAGGATCCTTCTTAGAAGGAGCCCCCCAATTAAGGTACCAAAAAAAGCCAAAACCGACGAAGCCAGCAAAATTTTCGATCGTACGCCTCTGTGGAAAGCCCTAGCCCAAACAAACTACACGTCAAAATCTTGACTTTTTAAAGCCCGAATCCCTGAAATCCGAAAACTATACGCATCACCACGAAATCCTAAAACTCTGTGTCCCCGAAACCCCGAAGCCTTACACCAAAACCATAAAAAACAGAACCCCAGAACCCCAAACCCTAAAATGCTACATCCCTCTGAAGCCGTAATGCTTGTATACCTAAACCCGAATGGTGAGAAACCCTAAACCACCAAATACCGCGACCCTTGAACTAGGATGCCCAGTAACCTAGGACTACAAACAGGGAATGAGGCTACTACTGGGCATCCTAGTGAAAAAACAATCCAAAAAACCCAAAGTCGGCACCTCCCACATCGTGAGCGCAAGACCGGCCCCCTCCTCTAGGGAGTAGCCGTACTCGAAGCCGAGGATGGCCTCTAAATTTGGCTCTTTATAGGGCTTAGCGTTTATCATTTACGGTTTAGGGTGCCTAAACCTTCAGGTGCACAGGTAGTTGAAAAGACCTACCTCTTTAAGGATTTATATATGGAAACCATAATACAGAACCCTAAAGAGGTAGGTCTTTCCGGCTAGAGGTTGGGCTTATGGGGTTTATAGTTTAGGGCCCCTAAACCCTAATCCCTAGAGGGTGTCTGATTCAGGGTTATCGGGGGCATAGGGGGTGTGTAGAGGGGGTGTATATAGGGGTGTAGGGGTCTATGAGGGTATGGGGTTTCGGGGGTGTACAGGGGTTGGGTTTGGAGATGTTTTTGGGAGAAAGGACAGCATTGGCTATGGCTGAGGGTCACAAAACAAGTGAGAGGCCCTAATGATGAATTAGTATGGCTGGCTCACGAAAACGCAGCTCAAGCTATGATGACTTTCTGCATGGCTCCTCTTCACCAGGGTCCTTTTGCAGGACTACCTGAGTGCCAAAGCATATACTAGATGATATGAGTCATCAGAATACATGGACCCTTAGGACAATGAACGCAGTAGGAAAGCCGAACCGGGTTCCGAATGCAGATGCCTGAGTGATAAACCAAGTGCTCAATTAACCCATATGCCCAGGGACTCCAATATCCCTTAACTCAGGAATCTACCTTAACCTGCAGCAGGATCCCTATATGATTCTAAGGTAAATACCGGTTTCCTCAAAGTTCAAGATGTTGAAGTCTCTGGGGAGTTGGGCCAAAAGGAAGTCCCGCAAGGCAGAACAACTCCCGAAGAAAATGTGATCTTCTTACAAACAAATTAGGATTTTGCTGTCGACCAGCTCAGATTTGTCACATTTGGGCAGTGTTTGTAGATGCGCGGAAATACTGATTGAATGCTTGGCCCTCGAAACCTTAATCCCTAGGATCCTAGGACCCTAGTTTCCCCCAAGACGTACTCAAAGATCCCTGCACCCCTTCAGAAAGCAACATATCCTCTATCGTACTCAGGACCTCTCACTGACTCTCGGAAAGTTCCATGTGTGACGAGTCACAGGACTTTCTAAACCTTGCATCAGCTCTACATAAACCAATGCCACAAAGCCCTAAACCCCAGAATGCCCTGACGCCAAATAACGCCGTGGACATAGCTCCGATGCAACTATATAGGGGCATACCATGGCATACCATCAAAAGAGGCCCAGGCATCGAGGATTATCGGAGACGCACGTGACGTTCTGAGTTTAAGTTTGCAGAAACCTAGAACACAGATACCTCAGTAGTTAGGATAAGGCTCCTTTACAGAAGAATCATTGTAAGGAACCCTAAGGAATGATATGGATGATTATTTAAGCTCCTAGATCTGTAGCAAACCAGGAAACCCTAAACCCTAAACCCTAAACCCTGAAAACCCTAAACCCTGAACCCTGACCCTAAAACCCTAAACCTGAACGATATGCCGGAAAGCCGCCAACTCGGAAAGCGAGGAGTTGCACACGATGGCCTGAGGGAATGATGCTATGCTTTGCTCCTGGGGGTGGCAACCCCTCCAGTAGTTTAGGGTTTTAGGGTTCAGGGTTTTAGGGTTTTAGGGTTTAGGGTTCAGAGTTATAGTGGTTTACGGGTTTAGGGGTTTAGGGTTTTAGGGTTTAGGGTTTTAGGGTTTAGGGTTTTAGGGTTTAGTTCCCTAGATTCATGCTAGAGTATGCTATGTACGCCGAGCTCCATTAGGTAGTTCGGCTCAAATCCGGTCCTAACTGACGCTTTACGGTTGTTAAGCCTCAGGCGTTTGTGGCCCAGGTCTAGACATTCGAGTTCAGCTTGCTTCCAGTTTTCTTGGAACCCGGTTTGCATGAAGATAGGAACCCTCAATCCTCAATCCTAACTCGTGTGTTTCGGCAATGCCCTGTCCCTAAACCCCCGCACCTTCAAGCTTCAGGGAAGCCTGGTATCGGCCTTGACTCAGAAGGGATGTCCTGTCTATACTGAACTTAGACCCCTCGCAAAAATTGAAATTTTAGCTGTTTCTTAAGGATTCTTATACGCAAAGATTATAAAATATGTCTAAGTACCCCTAAGCTTTGTTTGCTTGATTTGAGGGTGGATTGGGCTCCCCCAGGTACCCCCTAAAGCCCTATAATACAGTCTTAACTCTTAACAAACCGTACAATTCTCATAGCTCCATCTATTTCCCCCACAAAATCAACCCTAGTTGCACCTTTGCTGATTGGAAAGTCTGGGGATTTTGCGAAAGCAGAGGATGCTATCCAGAAGCCTAACTGCGAGGCTCCTGTACCCATATAGTATATACTTAGGCCGCAAAGTACCCATATAGGTACCCCTGTAAGCCTTAAGTATTTACCATAAAGGTACATGGAGCCTTACCCATGCCTGCTGGTGCAGACTCACTATTGCAACTTATTCACCCCCCAAAGTAGACCCTGGTTGCCTTCTTGATCAATCCCCAACCGCGATAAACCGAGTGACTACCTTTCCCGTCTCTCAAGCTCTTGGCAAAAGCCTTAGACATCATATATTGCGTGCAGCCCTGCCACAAGTCTTCTATGAAGCCCTGAAGCCGTTTGGGGTACCCTTATTGGGTTTAGACTGTACGTGTCACGGAACGGGGGTCACTACACCCTTACCCAACCCCGAAAGGCGTTTCATACCCTGGACAAAAATGACACCTATTTGGGGTTAAGTTTAGAGTTTGGGGTTTGTTTTCGGAATGCCCAGGACACTCGGAGCAGCTAAGACAGAAGAGGATGATCATTGGTTGAGACAGCCGATAGGGTATGCGAAGCCATCACGTACACCATCCTTAAAATTAAAAAACTCAACCGAAGTCCTGCAAGAGCAAACATTCGCGTTAGAGCTGGGCCCTATAGTCCAATAGTTGCGATCTATGTCGGTGGACCCGTGCCCTCTTAAAACCACCCATAGACGGCCCTAGACAATCCTAAACCCTTTATCAAAAGCCGCAGAACGCCTGCTCAACCCTCGCACCTCGGATTGCTCGCCCAGCCCCAGGTTGCCTTCGCGGCATCGGTTTAGGCTTTAGGGTGCATGCAGGGAGCAGGGTCTACCAAAGACCTATGACCTCTTCCCCCTTCGACATGATCGTTATCATGGGTTTCGCGCACGAGGGGCAAGAGCACAACAACATCATCATCAGCGGCAGCACTACCAAAACAGAAAGCAAACAAACAGATGCCACTGCCGCCGCCGCCTCCGCCACCACCAGCAGCAGTACCACCACCATCATCGCAATCACCACCTTAACCGCCAGCACCAGCAAAGCGCCGACACAACAACCACCACCACCGCCACCACCACCAACAACAACGGCAGCAGCAGCAACACACAACAAAAACAAGCAAAACCCACTGGCCCATGTAAGGCTCAAAAGTGGCTCCCCAAGACCCTGGAACTGGGGTGTGTAACTTGCAATAGTGCAGGGACCTGATTAAGAAACCTTGGGCCTTTATTAGGGTTCCTTATATGAATCCGACTATTTCGGGGTTATAGGCCCAAAGTTTCTTAATCAGGTTCCTAACTGATCCTGAAACCCTAAACCCTAACCTTATTAGGTCCTTATTATGGGCATTAAGGCCCTCCACCCCCCCCCTGCCCCTACCCCCTTAAGGTTCCCGATGATTGTAAGAGCCTGAAACTTGAGACCTCAGAGCCCATGTATTCTAGCAGTCAGGGCTTCTGACGCGAGTCAAACATGCATCTGGCTCTCGAACATCTCACAAGCACACATTACCTATAGTCTCCATTGTAGTTCCTTTTTTTGGTTAACCAAAACTGGTTAACAAAAAAAGAACTACAACGGAGACTTCAGGTAAAGTATTCCTACAATTTGCGTCAACAAGCCTTCTGCTCGGCAATGCCTTTTCATCTTCACATGGGCAGTTGTCTAAATTAAGGTCCCTTTCATGGTCCTTTGTTCCAAGGGTGCCGCAGTATTTTGGGGACCGAAAAAGGGACTCTAATTTAGAGACCTACCCACATGACACTTGCTCCCTGATCTGGCCAGCGGCTGAGGATGCTGTGAGGGATCGCCGTGCCCTGGTCGTGAATGATGCCTGGGAGAGATTGCAAGTTGGCACAGTGAAGTCAAGGCTTGGGCTTGTTTCAGGGTGGAGGGCTTAGGGCTTCCAGGGATTCGGGTGTATAGGTGTAGAGTGAAGGTTTGGGCATGCCTAGGCGCCGGCACGCGGATGCGACTTCATGAGAAAACTTACAAACCTGAGTACACAAGCCTAGACAGCTGACAAAAAACGCATACCCCCATCTCAAGGAGTCTCGTGATTCGGGCGTAGGTTGAAGATCCGAGCTAGTATATACCCAAAGGCCCCAAAGTAGTTCCTTTTTGGGGTTCGTATATAGAATCCTACAAGGTACTCCCAAAAAGGAGCTACTATGGGGCCTATGGGTAGTATATAGGCTTGGCAGTTACGACGTTCTGTTGATCTTTCCTGGATGCGCTCATTGCTCAGAGTTTTGTCAGGCTTGCGTACAACCCGAAACCTTCAGCCCAACCGGCTTAATCAAGGCTTTGCGTTGAAGGCTGGCTCTGGGATTTGGTGTCCCCTATACTACTAAGCGTACTTTCTAGGAACCCCCATTAAGGGATCTGCTTTTTGGATCCTCCCTGGGGTCTGGGTTTAGAAGACGTGCCTCTGCGAAGCAAACACATCTTGGCTCGCACTTTCATGCAGGCAGACGCATGGGGAGCCCCGAACCGCCGTGCTGATCACAACAAAACCGTTAGGGTTTAGGGTTTAGGGTTTAGGGTTTAGGGAACCGGAGTGAAGAACACGGCCGTAAGCACAGTGGACAAGGGTATGAGGCCATTCAAGCGGAACCAGACTCACAAAAGACGGTGGAAGCGCATAAGGAGACACGCGACCATACCACATAAGCTTAGGGCTTAGGAAGCTTCGTTTGCAGTTCGCCAGGGATTCTTGCTGAGCCGCAATGCCGTTGATTGAAGGTCCCACGTTCCACGTCTTGACCTGGCACCAGTCAATATCCGTGCTGAATATGCAGGAGGTTTTATAGGGATTTATGGGAATGTGTATGATTTGTACCAAAGTCCTCCTAGCCATCAAGAAAATGGGTTGGGGAGAGCGGCAATCCTTTTCATCTTTCTGCGGCCGCGACAAAGCTTTAAGGTTCTGGGATCATGGAACTTTAATTTCGCCTGAAGTGCACCACTGGTGTGCGGCATCCTGTGAGTTGAGCTCCTTCTTGGGGGGTCGGTGGACTTAGTAAGTACTTAGTAAGTAGACTTATAAGTACCCTAAAAGGGACACCAGTTGGGTTTATGGTACTTATATGTCCCTAAAACAACCAGTTACTAAGTCCCCCGACCCCCCAAGTGACCCCTTTGAATGTCCCTGGTGCCGTCGCCTGACAGCCTGACATGGCATGGGGGATGGACGACGTACCTCGGAAGCCGGCGCAGTAATGTTGATAGATTTAGGGCTCGGGGATATTTAGACAAGGGCTAGTAGAGGGTGTAAACTTAGGGTTTTTGGAATGGAGAAACCTGTTTGACTACCTTGGTGCCCTTAACTCCCGTCTAGGCTATCTCTCCCGCGGTGTCAAAGGCAGCATGAAACGTAAGATGCGTAGGACGGGTTCAGGGCCAGGCATCCACACCCGAGGTTTAAAGCTCCTAGGTCTAGGTTTCCTATTGAAAGACTTTCCCCTACACGCAAGGGTTCCCGAAGGCTCCCGGGACGGCAGTCCTTAGAATCGAAAGCGGCTTGCCCACTTTTTAGGACGCCTTCAAGAGTTCCTTTAGAGCTGTTCTTCGATCCGAAGCCCTCCCTTTATGCTGTATTTTAGCAGCTCTTTGTTAGAGTGCCTACTTCATACAGAAATCATAGAGGCCCTGCAAAAGAATGGTTTTGGCAGCTTATAGTAGAAGCACAAGAATTGAAAACCCAATAGCCTCAATCCACAAGAGCAGTGTATATATAGGGAATCCCAGCACAATTTGTTCTTAAACCGGTTTCCAACTTTTGGGGGTTTACTTTAAGGTGAACTCCCTAAACTCTAAACCCTAAACCCTAAGGTAAACTCTCCACCCTCAATCGTCGAGACAGGTTTACAAAGAGCTGGCGCAGCTGGGGAACTGGTGGTCGTCATGGTGGAGCAAGCCCGTGCGAATTGCCTGCTTGGGGGTCGGGGGACTTAGTAACTATAAGGGGTTCCTTAAGGGCCCCTTTAAAGGGATCTATAAGGATTCTGTAAGGGTTTAGGGTTTAGGGGACTTAGTAACTGGTTATTTCAGGGACTTATAAGCACCATAACCCCAATTAGGGCCCCTTTTAGGGTACTTATAAGTCTACTTACTAACTACTTACTAAGTCCCCCGACCCCCCCAAGTGGCGAGGCAGTGGCCGAGGAATGAAAAGCTAAGATACGGGACTTCACCGATAGACCAGGAGTTCGGCATGTTGTTCGGGGCCGTAGATTGATAGAGAAAATATTGCATGGATATAGTAAGGAACCCGATCGAATGGGGCTCTTAAGAAAAATCATTGGCAAATACATTGTGTAGAAAAGAAAGCCTTGGCAAACCCACGCCCAACTGAATACGACAAGGCCAAACCCCCACAACCCAACCGGTAAACCCTGGCGCTAGCCCTTAAGATCAGCGCCCCAAAGCCATAACATCACCCCAAGGGTCCAAGTACCTAATAATCATATACTCTCCACAATCCTAACCTGCATGACTACGAGTACCCAAAGGGTCCAAAGTACTGTTCTGGGGGATACTGCCCCAAATCATAATAGTACTTCCTAATATAGGAACCCTACATTCTACCATAAAGGTACTTAAACCCTACTTGGGGGTCGCGGGACTTAGTAAGTAGTTAGTAAGTAAACTTATAAGTACCTTAAAAGGGACCCTAATTGGGTACCCACCATAACTTTGGGTCCTTTGGACCCTTGGGGTCAGAACCTCAACATTCCTGAACCCTAAACGACGCAAAAACCAACAAACCAACGCCTACTTGGAGGTTCATGGGACTTAGTATGGGTTCTTAAAGGGCTCCTTAAAGGGATCTATAGGGTTCCTTAAAAGGGATCTATAGGGTTTAGGGTTTAGGGCCTACTTGGAGGTTCACGGGACTTAATAGGTACAGTTATAAGTACCTTAACTAAAGGATATAACCAAGTATAGGTATAGTTACCTTATTTATAACCCTGGTTACTAAGTACCATGAACCTCTAAGTACACTGAAAACAATCCCTGAAACAACATGTTACAAACATCGAAAACGTGAAACTCACCGACAAGCCCTCAAGGACTCAAACCCCAAAGCCCTAAACTCTGAACCCTAAACCCTCAAAGCCCCAACCCAAACCCCTAAACCCGAAACCCCTAAACCCTATACCTCCCTAAACCCTAAACCCCAAACCCTAACCCCCTAAACCCGAAACCCCTAAACCCCTGTGACCTTGCACCCTATGACCCTGCACCCTAAACCCCAAACCCTGAACCCCTAAACACCAAAAGAATAGGCCCTCTATACCCTAGAACCCTACTATAGATCCCTTTAAGGAACCCTTTAAAGGAACCCCAAACCCCCTAACCCCCTAAACGCCAAAATCCGAAATCCCGAAACCCCAAGACCCGTGAATCTTGGGTACGGCCCCACCCAGTAATAGTTGAATAATATTCATAGTATAGATATATTAGGATTTTCATAGTAGCCCCATTATAGACTCTTACTGTATGGGGGCAGTACCTAACGTAAATCCTAAATTCCTGAAAGCCTACAACCCCTTTTGGATCCGTTGAAAGGAGCCCTAAACCCCTAAAGAACAACAAATCAGCACCCTAAACCCTTAAACTTCTACACCCCTATAGATCCCTTATAGAGTCCTTAAAGGAACCACTTGAGGAATCCTTTACAGGAAGAACACAAAAAACTAAGACCCTGAACCCCAAACCCCTAAACCCGAAACCCCTAAAACAAACAACTAAACACCAAAAGCATAGGCCCTCTATACCCTAGAAACCCTACTATAGATCCCTGTTTGACCCCTTTAAGAAACCCTTTAAACACCAAACACCTAAAAAAACAAAACAAAAAACTAAACTTATGGAACCCTTAAAGGAACCCTTTAAGGAAGCCTTTTAAGGAACCCCTTATAAAAAAAAAGGGAACCAACAAAAAGTCAGCCGCCGGCCTCCCGGTCTGGGTCGAAGCGCAGCAGCAAGGAGCCAAAAGCCAGGAGTTCGGCCTTAGGGGTGTAGGGGTTTACAAAGTTTAGGGTTTAGGGGTTTACCGGTAAAGGGTTGCTTTAAGTGTTCCTTTAAGGGTTCTATGAGGGATCTATAAGGGTCTAAAGTTTGGGGTTTAGGGCTTCAGGGGTTTAGGGTTCAGGGTTATAGGGTTTAGAGATTTATAGGGTTCTAGGGGTTTTAAGAGTTTGGGGTTCACGTATAGCCGGAAAGACCTACCTCTTTTATGGTTCCCTATTATGGTTTCTATATATAAACCCTTAAAAAGGTAGGTCTTTTCGGCTACAGGTAGGGTTTAGAGTTTGGGGTTTAGGGTTCTAGGGGCTTTAGGGGTTCAGGGGCTTACAGGGTTGAGGGCTTTAGGGGTTTTGGGTTTAGGGTTTAAGGATTTACAGGGTTTGTTCATCGTTTCCTGTAAGGGTTCCTTTAAGTGTTCCTTTAAGGGCTCTATAGGGGATCTAAAGGGGTTTAAGGGTTTTCGGGGTTTAGGGGTTTAGGGTTTAGGGTTCAGAGTTATAGTGGTTTACGGGTCTAGGGATTTAGGGGTTAGGGTTTTATAGGGTATAGGGTTCAGAGTTATAGTGTTTTGGGGTTTATGGGTTTACAGGGTATAGGGTTTTAGGGTTTAGGGGCTTAGGGTTTAGGGGTTTATAGGGTTTAGGGTTTAGGGGCTTCGGGTTTTATGGTTTAGGCCCTAGGTTTTTGGGGCTGAGGTGCTTAAGGTTCAGGGGTTTACAGGGTTTAGGGTATTTTATTTGGGTATAGGGTTTAGAGGTTTTGGGGTTTAGGGGCTTAGGGTTCAAGGGTTTACAGGGTTTAGGGTTTTATAGGGTTTAGGGTTTAGGGTTTGGGGGTTTAAGGTTCAGGGTTTAGGGGTTTATAGGGTTTAGGGTTTTAGGGTCTAGCGTTTAGAGGATTTAAGGTATAGGGTTTTAGGGTTTAGGGTTCAGTGTTTGGGAGTTTAGGGTTTAGGGATTGAGGGTTCGCAAAATAGTATTGGCATTTATGTAAGCCCCTATGTTATATATAGGGATTCCTTCAAGGGATCTCCAAGGTTTCCTATCTAAGGTTTTCTATGGGCTCTGTGGCTGGGGGTTCTCAGGGATTCTGCAAGGGCTGCTTTAAAGGGTCATAAGGGTTCCTTTAAGGACTCCTCCTGCAAGCGATCCACAAGGGTTTTGTAAGGGTTCCTCTGGGGGATCTCTTTTCGGGTTCTATGGGCGTTCTATACCGGTTCCTTCGAGGGATCTACAAGAGTTCTTTTCTTAGGGTATAGTATAAGGAATCGAGCTGTTGCCACCGGCCATGGCCTTTCAAAGAACTTCGATTTAGTCTAATATTACTTAGGATCCAAATAAGTAAGTCCCAGCCTTCAGACAGACCTCCTCCCAGCTGGGACCTTGGTTTCTGCTGTGATAAAACAAGCAGAGGTCCCGCAGATACACTTGGTGCTGCTCCTGGTCCGCCAGAACTCGGATGGCAGATAATGTTGACGCAAGACTTTGCCGAAGGTCGGCATCTGACGGCATGTACACTGACGGTCGAACACTTCGCAGATGACCTTTTGGTAGCATTAATCCTCGCAGGCCTGTATCAGGAGAGGAGGCCAGTGGCCAGTGGATATCGACATCGCCTGACTTTGCGGTGATCAGGCGACGGTCTTGCAGGAATGTCTTCTGCCCTCAGTTGGGTTTAGGCTTTAGTGTTCGGCGTTTAGGGGTAATGTGGCGGTCGGTTTACGGGTAGGGTACCCCCCCCCCCCCCGACCAAAAAGTTTTGGTCTCTTTAATTTGGAACCGGTAGCCCCGGACAGGGGTCAGGGGTCTGAGTGGCAGGGAATTGGGAGGTGCCGGGGTTTGGGGGCTGGCTTTGGTGCAGGGTCTGCGGTTCTGCGCGACTGCGCGGTCGGGGGTCGGGGGGGTCTGGGCCAGCGCCTGAAACCCTAAACCCTGAACCCTAAACCCTAACGAATCCTAAACTCCTAAACCCTATAACAAACCCTAAACCCTAAGCCCTAAACCCTTCCAAAGGGGGGTCGGTCCAGATTCGACCCAAAACTTAATTTTTTATACAAACTTTAGTACTGGAGAGGCCTCTTTTGAGCTAGGGTCCAATCCCCGATTCGGCGGTTCACCCTAGCAGCCCCCCCCAATAATCAAGGTATAGTAGTACAGTAGTAGTACAGTAGTAGTATAATAATAGTGCAGTAGTACAATAGTAATACAACAGTAGTACAGTGGTAGTACAATAGTAGTACAGTAGTAGTACGATTATAGTACCGTAGTACAATACTAGTACAGTAGTAGTGCAGTAGTAGTACAATAATAGTGCAGTAGTACAATAGTAATACAACAGTAGTACAGTGGTAGTACAATAGTAGTACAGTAGTAGTACGATAATAGTACAGTAGTACAATAGTAGTACAGTAATAGTACAGTAGTAGTACAATAGTACACTAGTAGTACAGTAGTAGTACCACAGTAGTACAGTAGTAATACAGTAGTAGTACAGAAATAGTACCAATAAGCAAAGCATAAAGCCAGTGAGCACATTCCCCCAACAAGCAAAGCATAAAGCCAGCCCCTGAAACCCTAAACCCTGAACCCTAAACCTTAACAAAAAACCCTAAATCCTAAGCCCTAAACCCTTCCAAAGGGGGGTCGGTCCAGATTCGACCCAAAACTTAATTTTTTATACAAACTTTAGTACTGGAGAGGCCTCTTTTGAGCTGGGGTCCAATCCCCGATTCGGCGGTTCGCCCCCCCAATAATCAAGGTATAGTAGAATAGTAGTACAGTAGTAGTACAGTAGTAGTATAATAACAGTGCAGTAGTACAATAGTAATACAACAGTAGTACAGTGGTAGTACAATAGTAGTACAGTAGTAGTACAGTAGTAGTACAGTAGTAGTACGATTATAGTACCGTAGTACAATAATAGTACAGTAGTAGTAGTACAATAATAGTGCAGTAGTACAATAGTAATACAACAGTAGTACAGTGGTAGTACAATAGTAGTACAGTAGTAGTACGATAATAGTACAGTAGTACAATAGTAGTACAGTAATAGTACAGTAGTAGTACAATAGTAGTACAGTAGTACACTAGTAGTACAGTAGTAGTACCACAGTAGTACAGTAGTACAGTAGTAATACAGTAATAGTACAGAAATAGTACCAATAAGCAAAGCATAAAGCCAGTGAGCACATTCTCCCAATAAGCAAAGCATAAAGCCAGCGCCTGAAACCCTAAACCCTGAACCCTAAACCTTAACAAACCCTAAACCCTAACGAATCCTAAACTCCTAAACCCTATAACAAACCCTAAACCCTAAGCCCTAAACTCTTCCAAAGGGGGGTCGGTCCAGATTCGACCCAAAACTTTATTTTTTATACAAACTTTAGTACTGGAGAGGCCTCTTTTGAGCTAGGGCCCAATCCCCGATTCGGCGGTTCACCCTAGCAGCCCCCCCCAATAATCAAGGTATAGTAGAATAGTAGTACAGTAGTAGTACAGTAGTAGTACAGCTTTTCATTCCTGACGCCCCAATAAGCGAAACAATTCTGCAAGAGATTTTCGGGCTTCAGGGCCAGGGTTTTAGGGTTGGGTGGGGGTTTGGGTGGGGGCTTCAGGTCGTGGCTGCCTTAAGATTGACCATCAGCAAACAGCACAGCCCCGCCCCCCCAAAATCCCCCCAGCCCAAAAAAACGCATTAATTAGACCGCCCAAATTTTTGGTACCGGTCGGAATTAGCCCCCGAGCCGACGCATTAAAGGAGCCCATGTTCCTAAACCGACCCCCACATTACTCGTTAACCCATAATCAGGGATGCTCCACCAGGGGTTCCGGATAAGGACATGGGACTAGCTCTATAGATGTTGTGGATTCCCTAGACCTGCTGGTTTTAGGACTAAGTCAAGTTCTAACCCAAACCCTTGGTTTGAAGTCCTCCCACGAAAAACTAAGTTCTCGCTGGGCAAATTGAGGCCAGTAACTTCCAAGCCCATAGCAGTAGAATCCGAACACCCTGAACTGCGAAACCCTGAAAAGAACACCGAAATCCCTACGCCCTAAACCCTCAAACCAATAACATAGAATCTAAACCAATTAGAGTCCAGACCCGAAAGCCCTCAACCGAAAACCCTTGCACGGTTTAGGGCCTAGGGGTAACCTCTTAATGCCCTGAATCCTACGACCACGAGTACCAACTGCAACAACCTAAGCTCTGCACCCTTAGGGCGTCTAACCGCCCTGCGCCATAAGCCCAGACCCTTTCTGTATATCAAAATCACCAGAGCCAAGTACCTCCTAATCTCGAACAGAAACCCTACCTTACCATACCATAACCTGCGCCTTTGCAGGGTCTTTAAATGTTGAGAATCACTACGGCTCCAAAACAGGAACCTTCAAAGAAGTAGGTAATGGTAGTTTAAGAGGTAGACCTGAAACAATTGAGGTAAGTACACATTAGTGCCAATCGAAACGCGCATAACCATGCGTATGACCCATGAACCGTCAAGTAAGGCTCTAGGGTTGTATTGGTCGTTTCGGGTTTGGGAGTTCGAATTGGCAAGGAGTTCGATGTGGGGATCGTGCTACGAGGTGTAAGCTTTCAGCCTGTCGAACGCTCTCAACACAATGACTACTCTTCCATTTTTCTCCGGCCGAGGAGCGGTCGGCCAGTCGATGCGGCCTGCCATCGATCGGGAAGTCCCCACCAATCGTTTAAAGGATGGGCGGGGTGAGGAAGTAGGGTTTAGTCTGGTTGAAGGTTTAGAAGAGCTTCCGGACATATAAGTTGTTGGGGAGTGTTGCAGGGCTTGATACGGGCTTGACTCGACATTGTATGGTGTTGCAGCGGTGAACGCTGGCCCACCACGCCCAATGTATCTAGTACTTGTGAGGAAGCACGTTTGATCATAGTCCTCAATCCGCCAGTGCTTGACTGCATCCTGCTTGTTCCAAGGTGGTCTCTGGTTGGTCTTGGGGCAGTGGTCGAGTTCCTGTCTGTCCTCTTTGGGGTTCTACACAGGCAGCATGTTTTGTATCTGTTTCTGAATGTTATCTTAGCGGATCCTACCGTATGCTCTCAAGAAGAACTTCAAGTTGCACACCCTCAACAAGCCCCTCCTACCCCCTAAACCCTCAACCCTTAACCTCTATAGATCCCCTACAGAACCCAAAAGGTCCGAGTACCAAAATAGTAGGGTTTTAGGTCCCAAAATCCATACTATGAGTGGTTTTTGGACTTCGAAACCTTACTATTTGGATACTTGGACCCTTAGGGGAACCCTTAAAGGAACTGTAAACCCTACGCCCCTGTAAGTCCTCAACAAAAAACTCTCTCATCGGCCTGAATGCAGCTGCGCTCGGCGTGATTGGAAGAGTTTGCCTTGCTCCACTTCGAGGCTCATGGGATTTAGTAAGGGTTCTTAAAGGGCTCCTTGAAGGGATCTATAGGGTTCCTTATTGGGGTCTATAGGGTTTTGGGTTTAGGGCACTACTTGGAGGTTCATGGGACTTAGTAAGTACAGTTATAAGTACTTTAACTGGGAATTTAACCAACTATAAGTATAGTTACCTTGCTTATAATCCTAGTTACTAGGTACCATGAATCTCTAAGCAGGGAGACGTAGAAGGCCCCAAGATACTCTGGGTTTTTGGTTCCCTTAAGTCAAGGAATACACCTTAGGGTTCCTTAAAGGGGTTAAAGGAATATCCCTTGGGTTTCCTTAAAGGGACTAGATGAACATACCTTAGGTTCCTTAACTAGGGATTAACGAAATATACCTTAGAGTTCATGAAAGGGATGAAAGGAAGATACCTTGGGGTTCCTTAAAGGGAAAAAAGGGTTTAGGGCTCAGTTTCAGGATTTCCGGTTTAACCGTGTAGGCTGTGGGATTGAGGGGTTGGGGCCCGACAGTCCCAGCGGCGCACGGTGGCATGTGCGCTGACGCCTTCTGGGATGCGGTAGGCAGCCTGCCAATGGCTTCCCCTAAGGGTCCAGTGTAGGACCCTGAACCCTAAACTCTAAACGCTGAACCCTAAACCCTAGATCCAGAAGCCATAAACAAGGACTACTTGGACCCTTAGGGTTCAAGATTTCGAGGCCTAGGGCCTAGGGTTCGCCTGAACCCTGACAAGCCTGCTGTTATTATGAAAGTCCCATGTGGGGTTCGGGTAGGGATTAGCGGAGCGAGAATTTGGGGTGCGGGGACGATACCATAATGGGCATAGTGTCCTGCGCTGTACTTTCTTGCTTCGAACCGCTTAGGCTCGTAATACCCCCCCCCTAACTGGGGTGGGGTAGTGGGGGGTCCCCTGGAAATGCGCCCGGGCTCATTTCCCAGGATGCCTGTGCACTGGGGGGGGTTGAACCACTCTCACAGTGGCATTCCGGTCCACTATCACAGTGGCATTCCGGGGAAGTACGCATTATCGTAAGAATGGTAGTAATAGTAGGATTGTGAGAGCCATCAGTCGCTTCAGGTCAGCATGCACACACACACACAGATGCACACAGTCACTTGCGCACTGTCACGGCACCTTCTGTTTTTGCCCCTCAATCGCACTATGTGCGGAGTCTTTCCTCACTCAGGCTGAGTGGAGCAGCTCGGCCGGGAGATGCGATTCAGCAGTCTAGTGGAGTCTATTGCGCTAGCCCTGGAGGCATGAGGATGCTCGTGAATGTCACCTGCAACTCCTGGCATCAGAGCTGGTGTGAGCTTGTTCTTCAAGCTACCCTAACCTACCCTAACCTACCCTACGGTCAGTTTGACCTGCCCAGGTGTGTACTTGACCACCTGGGAGAAAAAACGGTGCACTTCTTTCACACCGTTGCTCAGATTTCCTGCTTTCGGGAGCAATCCTGTAAGCTCTCGGTGCACATATTGCGAGAACCGATACCCCTGCAGGTTGGAGCCACTGGAGAGGAAGAAGCCGGGAACCCTCTTGCAAACCTCGTCGTAGGAGAGCATGCCGGTCTTTGTTTTGATCTGGCCATCGTCGCTGACAATCTGCACGCCGCTTTTGCGAAATTCTTGGATAAGACCGCGGATGAAGGCGTCGACAGTCTTGTCCAGATTCTTCCGCATGAAGCTGCGGTCAGTGAAAGTCTGGACCTCGGCATCTGGCTGGGCAGTTGCATCAGACGGCCCTGGAGGAGCAGCCACGTCCAGCTCCGGATTTCCAGGAGGCAGCTCCGGAACAGCAACCTTTCCTGCCAGCAGCATGCGCACTGCTAGAACAGCATTGGGCGAGAGCTGCACGTGGAGTCTTGTGGCACTCTCTCGCATCACTGCTGTCTCGAGCTCGCCAATCACGCAGCCGCTTGGATCAAACAGCAACGGTGTCGCCGCGCAGCTTGTCACCCAGTGGCGGTGGTCCTGGCCTTCTTGCTGCAGCAGTGTTCCTCGCAGGACCTTCGCACTGGCAGCAGGCACGTCGCAGGGCATAGGCTTGCCCACCCGCACTGTGCCCAAGTGCCGAGAATCCGCCTTGCGGACAGTCGATCCGCGGAAAACGGTCAAGACCGCCACCACTTCAATCGTGCCTTCCAGCTTGCACATCAGGACCTGGAGACTTTTGCCGTCCTTGTTGGGCCGATAACATTCCGGCTGCGCTACACCGTGGCCTTTGTTAGGAGTGATCTTTGCCCGGATCTCTGCAAGCATGTGTTTCTGTGCCTCTGCCCATGCCGTCGATCTTGCAAGCCGGTGGTGCGAGATGTTCGAGGATCGCCGGGCGACCGCCAGCAGGTGCTCGCGATAATTAAAGTCATTGAGCTCAACTTGTCCACGTTCCAGTTGAGTCGGACTGACGATTCCTTCTTCGCACCGGGCTTGGCGAGTGAAGGCTCGCATCGGGCCGAGGAGATCCCGCACCCGGAGGAACATGCTCCGTGTGCCGAGGGAGGGCGCCTCTCCCAGGTTGAAGTGCGCTCCTCCTTTCCCGATTGCTCGCTTGAGGACCTCCAGCAAGGTTTTGGGAGCCGCTCCGGGTTCATCTGCATCGGGTGCCCAGGTCGTGGCCACATCTACGACATCCCGCATGTCCTCCGCCGGCACTGTGCATGCCTCGTCTGCTTCCTTCCGGAGCTCCTGCATTGCAATCTTCAGCTCCTCGGTAGCGATAGCACGATCTTGCACAGCAACCAGTTTGACCACAGGCGATGGCTCCGCAGAGGGCTGCTGATCCGTCACCTCCTGACAGTCCGGGGTCAAGTCCTCATCGTCCTCCTCGGCTGATTGCCTTCCGCAGGCCTGAAAGTACCTGGGACCCTCAGTGTCCCACCACTTGCGAAGATCGTAGACCACCTCGTCCGGAGACAGCGAGGTGATGCAGCTGAAGAATTGCACGGCGGAGGCGCATGACTGGCGAGCGACCTTACACAAGGAATCCTCATCCATGGGTGTGCGATCCATGCAGGTCCTGATCTCAGCAAGGTCGGCCTTGTTCTTGACCTGGCGAAGCTGGGTTGCATGGGCATGGGCGGTGCCAAGTATGGCGTCCTTGACAGTGGGCTGCCCGTGAAAGACAGATTTGACACGTCCAAAGAAGGATTCGATGGCTCGTTCCTGCAGCTGCTGCGGCTCCTGGCCCACAGTACAGATTGCAGTCACCTGGGCACAGATGGCTGCAATGTTGCGATGTGTCACCTGAGCTAAGGCATGTTTTTTCCAATCGGATCGGAACTTCCGCTTCGCATGCAACATCTCCAGGATCAGGAGGTAATGGAGTGCGAAGCAGTTGGCAGCATGCTCCTGAGTGGTGTATCCAGCCGACCCTGTGGTTGCACTGCAGAGCAAACCGGCATAGAAGGCAAAGACGTGGTTGCCTAGGTCGCACCAGGACCGCCGCATCCAGCAGGGACACAATCGCTGAACGGCTTGTGTATCGCTCTGGCAGTCCTTGATGCTGTAGGCGGCCTCGGACAACCCTTCACCCAACATGCATGTTTGATCGACCCACAAATCGCCTAGGACGAGGAACCGGCATCCACTCGCGACCTGGAGGCTGAGCCTCTTCTGTGTATGATATGCACCGACCCCACCGCACATCACAGATCGTCCTTTGTGCAGGAGTCTCCCAAACGGCCAGTAGATGTACTTGGGCGTGAAGAGCTGGCAGTCTCGGAAGAAAGGAAGCTCCTGCAGACGGTCCTGCGAGAGCAAGCCTACCCAGGCTCGCAGAACCTGCGAGTTGCACGACGCTGCGTCTGCAGCGGTGCCGAAGGGTGGCACATCCCCATTCACCTCGGTGAGGTGTTGCAGTATCTCCGCGGTGTACTGCAAGATCTCCTCCGAGCTGGCGACGCCCAATGGTCGAGGCAGGATGCAGCAATCCATCACGAGAGATTCCGTGTTCACACGTTTCAGAACGTAGGACAGTGTGAGCCGACTGAGATTCTCCTGCAGCACCTTGTTCTTCACATCGAAGTCCAATGGGAGGATCGACCAGTCCTTGGCTGGGTCCCGGTTGAAAGAGCCGCCAACATAGGCATCCTCGCCGCCGTTCAGACGTCTTACCTGCTGCAGGTCCGCACTCCAGCAGGTCTCGTCGAACATCACCCAGGACCTCTCGCCTTGCATCCGCAGGTGCTGGAGGATTGTCTGGAGGTTCTTTCGGAGGCGCTCGGGTTCCCTGAGCGCCGCAAACGGTTTCGGGAGTGCCTCCGACCAAAGGTCCATGGGTTGCAGCAGCTTAGCATTGACGCCGAAGACATGCAGAAGCCGGTCGATCTCTTGGGAACGACCCAGACTGCAGAGTGCATCTGAGATTGCCGCATAATCAGCGTAGGCGCTCGTCGTTCTCCTGTGTGCATTCACGAGTCTCGCCTTCGCGGTGTGTAAAAAGCTGGTGACGAGGCTGCTGACGATGCTGTCAGCTCTCAGAGCTCCAGTGGCAACCTGGACGGCAAGGTCGATGTCCTGCCGATGACAGGAGCCGTCTGCGATGGAGCTCGCCAAAGACGAAGCCAACGCCGCATGTGCGGCTGCTTCTGTGTTGGTGGCGTGAAGCTCCGCACTGCGAATCATCCAGTTGTCCAGGTACTGCTTGAAGCTAGGGCTCAGTCTCCAGGATGGGATACAATCCAGTTTGTGTTTGACAGACCGCAGCACCGCCATTGAGGACTCCTGCTTGCTGAGCTTGTCCAAATCAAAGCCAGCGAGATTGAGCCGACGATACTCCGAGCCCTTCATTTTCTCGAGCCATGCATTTGCGACGTCCGAGGAGGAATGGAACAAATGATACGTGTATTGTGCTAAATCGATCAAGTAGGCCTTGCTCCCGATGTGCTTGCGGAAGTGCTTGCTCTTTCCCAGGGACAAGCACGAGGGGCAAACCATGTCTGTCCGAGCCATGTCCCTGGTGCAGGCGGTGGATCGCACCAGGATGGTCCCGGTGCCAACCTCAAAGACAGCTGCAGCCATGGGGTCAGTTTCTTGCTCGGAGAAGACAGTTCGCGGTTGACCTGCGTAGACGTAGGCCTCGATAGAGTTCCTCAATGCACACAGCGGCAACAAGGGCTCCTTGATGTCCATCCCCGGACAACGCTTCCCGGCAGCCTCAGCTGCGACAAGTTGCGCCTGAGCTGCCACAGGCTCGGCCGGCACAAGCTGGGCTTGATCTGGCAGCTGATCCGCTTCTGCGGGCACGTCGTGCATGGCTGCCACCACCTGGTCGTTGTCGTTGATGCACAGGTCCATGCTTGCTAGACCCCTCCTGTGGGTTGTCGCCCTCTCATGTTTCCGGAGTCTTTCTTCGCATGTGGCAGACATGAACTTGATCAGTCGCCCGCACGGCTTACAGTGGTATGCAGCTTCTTTGCTGAACGACTGATGAGTCTGTGTATATACGCAGGACCGGTGAGCCTGGATGAAGCGATGCAAGCTCCATCGTTGTCCTTCCGGCTCGTTCTTCCGGGGCCTCCCCGCCTTATGCACTGGAGTCCCGACCACAAGCTGCCCGCCCTGATC